AATCAACCAGCGCCGATTGTCAGTTCCAGCGCCTTGCGCGCTCGTGCCAGAGGCCGAGAGATACAGACAAAGATAGCGCCGAGTAGGGCGTGAGGTTCTTAACGCGAATTGACGGTCTGAGTGCGGTGCGAATATGGGTGCGGGTGCGGGGACCTTCGGCGAGCGGGAGCGAACAAATGTGAATCAGGTCTGACGGCGGCGGCGACGTCCGAAGATACGTATAAATGGAGACGACGAGGACGGAGCTCGAACTCGGCGGGACTCCGGACTCGAAATGTAGAAGTAGCGCCGGAAGGTGGAGCAATCTGGTCCGAAATCCGAATGTCTAACGCGCGTTTACTGTGTGTCGATTTGTACTGCAGGTTACTTGCGGCCGACACTGACTGCGGCCCGTTAGACAGCGAATTTCCTGCAATGTAATGTACAGCGGCTTTGAAGCGAGTACTGGATAGGGATCGGGTGGAGGCGATTGCAGGAGGAAGCGGTTTGAAGATCGGTTAGGTTTGTTCGTTGCAGCAGAAGAAGTTGAGGTGCGAGTTCTAGTTGGAGCTGAGATGTCGACCGGAGCTGGTAAGAAGGACGAGTTCCCCTACACCACCTAATCCACTGCATTACACTACACCACAATTGAAGATATACTAAGCCCAGTGTCCATGTGCCTGCCGTGTCTGCCCTACCTTATACGCGGCAAGAGCCAACTGAAATTCGATCCAGGTCAAGCAGGCGAAACAAAAGGCACCAAGAGCAACCAAGAAGCAGGGGCACCAAAAGACACCGGGGGCGGCAGGCGGTGCACATTCGCACCTGCGGCCTACCGACGGAACCACACGGAACCTTCCTGTCTGGCTCGCCTGGGACGGTATCAGCCCGGGGGCCCTGTTGTTGCACCCCTGTCGCTTTCCACTTAGCCCCCCGTTTTGGCGTGCTCCAGTGCCCCTGGGTGGGAACGAACCTGCGACTAGAGGGCGTGGGGGGCGCTAGGTAATTAGCGGGTCAGGAACGGTAACTGCGACATGTCAATTCATATGAGCACTCCGAGCGTACTACCTGTTATGTACGCCCATATTCCTCTCAACACTACCTCTAGGTACTGTCGAGTTCAAATACTACTAACAGGAAGATCGCCGGGTGTCCTGCAAGTAAATAGTCGCGATTCTTGACAGATAACCAAGGACGATAAATGCACAAGGCACACAGACATCACGACGTAGGTATGTACACGCGGACAGAGTCGAAGCACCTTCACATCCTGTACCACCACCATCAATCATTTCAGCATCAGTAACGGGAAAGCCGTCACCAATAGAGCGCCATGCGAGACGTATGCAGCCTTCCAACAGGCAGCATGGGGTGGGAAACAGGGTTGCACTCTGCATCTTGTCACTCCATCTGATTTGCCTCTCCATCGGTGGCCTCGCCCGCCCAGCAACTGCGCCCACTACCCAGAGCAACTACAAGAAGAAGCATGTATCTCTCCTGCTCTCGTACAACTAGCACGACATGAGCAGAAGCAATCCCAAATAACCCTACGGGCGTGAAGCCGTGAACATCGGTCCTTGATGAGACCAAAAGGGTCCTTTCTCTCTCCCCTCCTAAGCTACCCAACCCCTCCTGCCTCTGATTGTCATCAGCACAATGCTGACCGGGAACAGGGGAGTAGATTAGGATCGAAGCAGCGGGCAAAGCTCTCACATCCTCCCAGAAACCTGCATCTTCTTCCTTCTCCCCGTCATCGACATTGGACAGGCTAGCCCACCACTTCCACCACAACGCTAGATCTTTCTCGGCACCTCGGCAGTCTGTAAATGAGCTTACCCCTTAGGCCCTGTGACGCCCTGAATGAATATGCTGAATGGATGGAGCCATGGGAACAAAAGTCAACATGGTCGAGATGGTGCAGCATGTCTTATCACATTCGTTTCTCTTTTTCATTGCCCATTATCGGATGACTTGGAGGGAGTCATGCTTGCTTATTCCCATTACCGCCATTGTCAGTTGAGTTGCTTTCGCCGCACCCAAACTTGCTTCTGCTTCGCTGCTTCTTCCGATGAGATGCCTTGGGAATAAGCAGCCGCGAAAGAAACATCATCCTGTTCAAACAACCAAAAAGGCGAGCTTAGCTGTCTCAGGCCATATGATACCCCTCCTCCCCCACCTTTCTGGTCAGATCTTGGTGGGTTTGGCAAGAAAGGGTGGTCCGGTCACATAACCCGGACCCGGCGGTGTCCTGGGCTGCAGCCAGCCAACGGTGGCCAAGAGCCCAGGGTTCTATTCAGCGGACGCGCAACCGACATGTCACACACGTAGTATATACACGAGGCGCAGATGAAGAGCCAAGTCGGATCTTTACACAGGCGGACAAGCTTGTAACATGAGGTAACTTCGCAAGTATCCCGTTGCGGCCGCCATTTTATCTAGACAAGATACTAATCCACCTGCCATATCACCTCTTCAATCGGGTGGATCGCTGACATCGACAGGTACTTTCAATTCACGAGCACTTCCCTGAACCAGCTGAACGGGGTCCGAGCGATCAATCGCCGCTTTCACCACGATTCATCCGAAGTTGCCTAATGAGCTGGCCGTTTGAAAATGTTTAACACATGTGGACAGTCCAGGGCTCTTGATGTACTTCGCTTCTCTTGTCCGAGTTTCCTTTTCCCTGTTTGGAACATGGTAAGCTTGGGTACTTCTTTCACCTCTCAGGAACGTTTCGTTATACAGGGCGGACCACCGAAGCTATTACGTGCCGCACACCTTTAAGGCCACTCACAATGCTGTACCATCAAAAACCTCGTACTGTAACCAGTACCAAAGTAGCAAGCACCAAGCAGTTGTAAATAAGGCACGCCAACTTGATCTTACCTGCATAGCACAGCGATGTCTACACTCACCTGCCGACATACATCGCTACCGAGTATGTACTACCCATAGATGGAAATAAGCTGCTGCGCACACATATGTGTATCCACACATACAATGTGTGATCCGGATTCTCACAGGTAGGTATCACACAGCCGCAAAGCGGGCAATCGAAAACATTAGGACAAGTGGACGGTCAAGCCACTTACTCTGTCGTCGCCATTAATGTCCCAAAATTCCGAGAATCTGGATTATATGTTCTTACCAGCGGTGGGGTATAAGAGAGAATGATCCAAAACGAAACATATCGACCCACATTATATGAGATTCATATTGACGAAGACCGAAACGTCTTGTTCATAGACAGTGTACGAAAGAGGAAGCGTGGATGAAACAGACCAAGAGATTCTTTTCCTCTGAGTCAGCAAAGGAAGGGGAAAAAAAGAAAAAAAAGAAAAAAAGAGGCGTAGACAGAACTTTGGCTACCTCCTTATACGGATGAGATTTTCAGAGCCCAAAAGAAGGCCTTCATGAAAGTTGTGTGATGATGACATCCATAAGATGGTCTTTCAGTACTTGTCTTTTGGACGGGAATTGCCGTTGTTAACACACGCTGTTATGCATTTACTACTACCCTCAGCTCTCTGCCTCTATCCTCTACGCATCAAAGTTTGACACCAGTCACTCACAAATTCCAATTATCACCTTTACTACCCGTCTTTCTATCATCCCTCCCTCCTTCCTTTCGTTTAACCAAGCAACTAGCGTACAAATTACGAGTGTCCAACAACAACAAAAACCACAGCTATCTTTAACTCTTGAGAGCCTTTTCCACATCGTATTACCTACCTACCCAAACCTTCCCTGGCCGGCCGTGTCCTAGATAGACTGCAACAAATCAACGGATGAGCGCAGCTACCTCACGTTTGCAACTCTACATGGCATCACATCGCTTACTTGAGATATGCTCGCATTGCATAGTACCCCCCCCCCTCTCTCCCGCCTTACCGTATGCACATTCATCAACCCGTATGTACATAGATACTTTGTAGGTGCCGGCGTCTGCGACTTTTTGAATTGGTGTAGACACCACGAAGAACTAATTTGATACCAAGAAAGTGGCTGGTTGACGGTGCGGTCAACATGGAGAGAAAAACTCCTCCTTATAACAATTGATCATCAAGAAGAAAGGAAAGAACTGAGCTGAGCCCAGTTGGACAAGTCTGGGCTGATAAGAGCGTTTGAGAATGGTATTGACAAACCGATTAATGGATGCCTGACCAGTGGAATCACTTGAGCTGAAATGGCCGGGCAAACCTTGGATCGAATTAAGCAAATGGTGGTAAGCGAAAAGAGAGTTGTGTTCATGAAAAAGTGATGTTGAGGTGCCGACAAACAGTTACATGGGCGTGCGATGGTGCAAGCATTCGAATACTCAACTTCAACATACCTACTCCTAACTGTCAGTGAAAGTGTTGGCTTCTAGATCAACACTTCCTCACTTCTTGTTCCGTATTTATCAAACGGGAGTGATTTGTAAGGAGACTACGGGTTGTGAGTGAAAAGGGTGCTCAAAGGACGACAGAGAGCTTCTGAGAGTGTTGATGCCATGCCATGGTCTATAGATGCTGAACAAAATAGACATGAAACAAAGTTCAGTTGGGGTGAGAGCCGCTTTATCGACGACAGAACCGACTTGCACAGCGGTCCAACGGGACGGCATGAAGACGGGGATGGACTATGGCTGTCTATCCCCAGATATGGTTCCGAAACTCGCAAAGACGAGCACTTCCTGTGGCAGTCTTGATGTTGAACAGAGGTCATAACGTCAACCCAGTCCATCATCATAAATGTACGACTGTCATTCCCACCGCAGCAAGATCGTATCTCATTGTCACAGCAACATACATTGGGACCGTGATTCTCTGAAACAATCTTGTATTTTGCTATCTCGGTTTCGACAGAATCGTTTGCTGAAGCAGTCATCGTGGGTGGAGTGGATCGATCGACAAGGCGACAAACAAGGGCGAGAGGGGAGATGTAGACCTAAATGATGGACCTCGATCTTCCACAGCAATAGCCAACGGAACCCGTGGTGAGTAATAGGACCTTTAATCTTCCTGAATTGAAAAAAAAGAAAAACCGGGAGTGACCATAGAGAAGAGGTCAAACTCGGGTGAACTTCAGGGACTGCGTAGTCAGTTGAGGGGGCGGAAACACATCACACATGATATCAAAGGGGGGAACGGATGGAGGCAATGAGTAGGGGTTCGGCGCTGCGCTTATTCCTCGAGTGTCTCGCAAACCTAGATACCAAGCCCAAGTGTCGTAATGGACGGCTGTATACAAGTGCACACATCAGAGGCGAGGAACACGACGGCTCGGCCTTCAAATCGTCTTTGGTGATCTTTGATTTGCCGTCGTTTGGCAGGCCTGATCGTAAAGCAAGCCCTGAACTCCTAAACACATGCCAAGAATCCCAATTTGACCTTTTTTGGCCGACATTTACTCCTCGGGAACTGTAACAAGTCAGCAGGGGCGCTCAAGACCGAAGCCAAGGGAGACAAGCGCAAGACGCGCCCATCAGAACAGGTTATGAAGCGCAATGGGAGAGCAACGTACCATCGATCTCGCCGGCGTGGATAGCCTCCTGGACGGCCTTGGGGCTCTTGCCGTCAACCTGGCAGCCGACGGAGAAAGCGGTACCGAGGACCTCGAGGACGGTGCCCTTAAGCTCCTTGGAGAAGGACTTGTAGCGCATAGTGCGGGCGATCTCGACGATCTCATCAAACGAAACAGACTTGTTGTGCTTGATGTTCTTCTCCTTCTTGCGGTCCCTGGGGGGCTCCTTGAGCGCACGGATGACGAGCGCGGAGGCGGTAGGGACGACGGAGACGGCCGCCTGACGGTTCTGGATGGTGAGCTTGACGGTCACGCGGAGACCCTTCTGTATTCGTTGAAAATCGCTTTGTCAGAACTGTATTCCCCCTTCGTTTCGCTCATGGCGTCGTTCATATAAAGTCGGATAGAGAGCCAGAATTTCGTACCCAGTCACCAGTAGCCTTGGCGATATCTTCGCCGACCTTCTTGGGGGAGAGACCAAGAGGACCGATCTTGGGGGCAAGAGCCGACGAGGCACCAACCTCACCACCGGTGGCCCGGAGGGTGCTGCACACAGAAACCGCCCGTCAGTATGTCTATAATTCGTATTCGTCGCGCGTATCGTGTCGCATCGAGTCGCCTCGAGCGACGGATCGTCGGGTGTGTTCTTACATAACCTTCACCTCATTAGGATCAAACTTGGGAGCTGCAAATTGCCATGTTGTCAGTTTTGAGTACTCAGTCGATGACAGGCAAATAGTAGGGCCATAACTTACGCATGGTGACGGCTGGTGATTGTCAAGATGCACTTGGATGGTGTTCGTGGGAAGGAGGAGACCGTACCGAGGATCCAAGACAACAACGAAATCGAAAAAATCCCAATTGTGGGATCTGGACCTGCCTGCCCTAAGATTTTGGCAGTATGTGGCTGGTGCTTTTGGCGGGGCACCAGCCACAAAATAACCGCTTTCAGCCACAACTCAATCTAGCCCGGTTCATGGTCGGTTACTTAGCGCTGTGCTGCAACCGCTACGTTCGCCTGCCAACACCTGCCAAACTAGGGAAAACAAACCCCCCTGAGTCTGATGAGGACAGAAGGCCAAGGCCTCCAGTCTGCCGCCCAGAGAACCACAACGACATCCCATCAGTGGCAAAACTCCAAATGGACTTGGAGATCATCAAAAACAGCACACTGGATTCATATTAATGATGTGATCTATTTGTGTGCTCGTATAAGTCCACATAAAACTAACGCTAGACAATTCCAACAAAGTCGTCCACCGCTTCAGGGGCTTGCATTTAACTTCATCACTCACTTCCAGCATCTCACTCGGCCTGTCCACTGCCCTCACATTTAGTTGGTTCCACTCACGGCAAGCTTCATGAGATGCTCCATGAAGGTCTGGAGAGAAACATCGTCGGTGAAGATAGTCTGGGCGCTCTGAGCTCCAACACCGCCATAGGCGCCAGCACCTGATGTATGGGTAGTGGAAGGGTTAAGCTTGGAAAGCAGGAAACGAGCTTGGGAACCGCCCTGGTCGCAAACAATGAAACGAGGGAGAGGGAAACGGTCGGTAATGAGATCCTGTACACAGTCAGAAAAAAAGCCCCGACATGATTCGATCAGAGATGAACAGGAGATAACTTACCCTTGCATCTTCCTTGGGCTGCTCCAAAAGTGCAGCAAAGTTCTCGTATCCCTCTTGGTCTTGGTAGCCGGCCTTTCTCCATTCCGCGATCGTCTCACCATGGAAGATCAAAATGTGGAAGAAGGTATCGAGCAGAAGGATGTGGGTAGGCTGAATGGAGGTAGAGTCGAGCAAAACGGGGACACCGCCTTCTTGGTCAAAGGTGTAGGAGTCGAGCGTTGGTTGAATCATGATGAGCGAGTTACTAACATCCTCATGATTGAGAACGTGCCGATAGAATGCGGTCTCATCGGGAGAGTTGTTAAAGACCTGCAAGAACTGACTCCTACGCAAGTGGAACATGAACTGTGGGTATAGCGTGAAGTTCTTTTCCAAGCGGAACGATGACGGGTCGTCCTTGCGGTAATCGGCAAATCTGGCGCAGAGCCTGATGAGCATGCGGTCAACCCACCGGAGCACATCAGGCCCATCGTCAACCTCCGCCTTGAAAACAGCGATACGCGACATGAGCACGGCTGCTGCCTCCTGGTCAAATGACTGCGCGATGGCCGGGTCTCCGGCAGGGCCGCTGAGGTTTCGGGCAATGGTGGTCACCCGAAGGTGGAAGTGGCCAGACGAGTGCTGGTAATAAGTCAAGAACTGCATCATTCCCTTTTGAGGACTCTGCATGTTCTGGGACGGGCCGCCTTGGTTGGCGATTTCGAAGTAGATACCGTAGCTGGAGCTGGGGTCGATACCGCACATCTTCCACGTGCAAGTGTTACCTATGCCGCACTCGGTTTCGCCGACGGACGTCGATTTTTTGTTGAGAGAGACGGCGTGACCAATCAACCCAGTAACCTTGAGTTCCTTCGTTGTCAGTACTTCCAAAACCGCATTGAAGCCCATCAGCAGATTGTCATCTGCGTCCTTTTCGAAAATGCGGACGAATGACTGCTTAAACATGGATGAGGTGAAGCTGTCCGTCAGAATCATGTGGCCACCCGTCGAGTTGCATAGACCCTTCATTTCAAGCAAACCAACTTGATCAAGACAGCCGGCAAAAATGTCAATAGTGTGGCCGTTGTGCGCAGTTCGCTTAGCGAGGTTGTCGTAGAACTATAGCGAATGTTAGCATGATACAGACTGTTTCCCGCACCGCAACTTGAAGATAAACGTACCTTGAGTGCCTTCTTGTAATACTTGATGTTGTCGCGGTCGATATCGTGATGGGAGCGGATGGGCTCCCTCAGCTCGGGGCCAACAACCATGCCAGGTCCCTCAGTGGCCGGACCACCAGCAAAGAGCATAATGCGACCACCGGCATTCTGGAACGACGTTTCCAGCAGGCCAACAGCTACGGACAACGCAACACCGGTGCAGCGCAAGGCTCTGAGGTTACCGGCGACAGGCCAGGGATCCTTCTGAAGCTGCTCAATGGCCTTGGTCAACTGGAACTCGGCCTGAGAGACCGGAAGCAAGAATCTTGAGGCAGGGCCGGCCGGGAAGGGCCTGCCAGGCTGTTGCATAGGCATGCCCGGACGCATAGCAGGTTGTACGAGCCCAAGCATCTCCTGGACCTGCTTGGCCGCGTACTCCTTGTTACCGCGGAAAACATATGATTTGGGGCACTCGGTGTAGCCAATCTCGTGGACCTGGGCCATGGTGCCGTATGTAATCAGGCCGACAAGGGCGTGCTCGGGCAACAGGCTCAAGCTCATGATGAGCGACTCCTTGAGAGCAGCCAAGCTGTCTTCCTCCTGGCATGTATCGACGACATAGAGGAAGATCGGAGGGGCGGGGGCGGGCCGCGAGAGCCTGTACTCGATGGTAGTGTTGGAAGGGTGCAGCTCGGGTGGAATCGCATTCGCGGTAATGTCCTTGTAGTGTGGCGGGAGAGGATTCCTCGAGAGACAGAAGGGGCAGATCCACAGGCGGGCGCGCACATCGACTTGACTGGGCGAGGGTATCAGCAATGGGCGCGACAAGTCGGGGCGACGAAGATGGCTCACCAGTAGGGGTTTAACACGGAGCGACAGGGCTGCTTGCAACTGACGGGGTCGAACTGCAGCAGAGGCGTGTCGGGCTTCTCCTTGAGAGGGGTATAAAGGGCGCCGATGGGGACGACGAGTCTGGAAGCTTCCTGGAGAAAGGGTCAGCGATAAAGGGGTTACGCGAAGTAGCAAGTATGCGAAAGAGCGGAACTGACCATGCGGGTGCTGGGGAAGACATTCCAGCTCAGACGAACGCCATCACGGTCCTCGACCTCGCCCCATTGCTCCTTGAGGGCTTCGTAATCCATGTTGATGTCGACGGCGTCCTCGGTCGATGGTCGCAGTCGGGGATAGAGAGGAACAGCTGGAGAAGGGTGATGGTGGTGTCGGCGGTTTGTTGGATTAGAAGATTAAGGGAATTAATGTGGATGATCCGTCGTCTACGCGGTGGTAGCTCCAGAGATAGGTACGGGGCGGGCGGCGGGCAACGGGCAACGTCGTCGGGCGGCTACGTGCAAGGTGTCATTAGCTCCGAGACCTGGAACGCACGAGACACTCGAGACATCCACCGTCCACCACACAGTCCACAGCAGCTGTCTTGCGGCAGGCGGGACCTGAGGCTAGATGTGGAAGCTAGGGGGAAAAGCGGGCTCCGTGCGAGTACATACCGCGGGGGGAGGCAATAAGGTACGGACGGGATCCCAGTTGTGGTGTGTGTCGCCAGGAAGATGCAACAACAGAAGAACCTCTTTGAACCTCTTTTTCGACGCTCCTGAAAATTCAAGGTCCACTTTAAAGTGTTGACTGCTGTCCAGGAAGCCTTGCTCAAGATCACAGAGTTGACAACGCGCTGCTCTTCTGCAATCGGTCAAGTGGTTTGCGACAAGGTGATGGGATAGATATGTTCAGAAATATCCCAATCGCTTCTACTGCAATGGAAGCCGACTGCAACAGGCGATATCAATTTCTGATTTGCGGCTCTGTTGTCGTTTGCTCCCCCCCTCCAGTTGTTGAAAAGGACAGGTACCTCGTTCCCCTCCATCGCAAGGCAGGGGGCAGCTCTGCTGACAGACGACGGGAGGCTGCTTGCCAGCTGGCAGGTAGCCGACGAGCTGGCGCCAATCACCACTCAACCTCACCGTGCCACCGCGGCCACCGTGGTAAACCGCATCTCCAAGCTGCAAGTTGCAATCTTTGTTCCGTCAGCACGAAATCGTCGGATGTACCAAGTGTTTTCCCGGTGCAGTGATGTTCCCGCGGCGTTGGATCATGAATGAAAAACATCATTGGCGAATCGTGACATCTCGACATGGAAATTGAAACCTACTCAGCATCGTATGCTTGCCCTCACCATCGACGCCTCGGGAGACGTCAAGCTTTGATTCCGTTACCCTTGGGCTCCAGCCATGATTCCGACCTGTGGCCGGCTGGCCGTTGAGTCTTGGCTAGCTCTGATTAGCCTGCTCGCATCTCTGTCCTAATGCTCGGTCTTGTGTCGATCCTACCACCATGCCAGCATTTGGTGTTCTTCAAGAACCGTACCCTGCTCGCCCCATCCTGTTTCAGCCCACTGTGTCGAGCATGACCAAAATTCTTTTTTGTGTTACCGTTGGGTTATCCTGAAGAATCCGTCTGTCGCGGGGGAACCCAGTTAAACACTCGCTCGCTCGCTCGCTGGCTCAGTCAGTCAAGCCAGCAGATGGTAAACTCGCGGCTGTGCTGCATAGCACAAACGCCCGCTCTCCGGTGATCACCCTCTCTTTTTTAAGCAGGCTCACTTTCACTTGTTACTCGACGAGTAGGGATCAGCCTTATCTCCTACTGTAGTGCTGACTTGATGCAACCCTTGGGTACGCTAAGATACGAAAGGGGCCGAGCAGCCGCCAGGTAGCAGTCAACAGGCACCATTGACAGTCCACGGTGATATTACCGTGGCTCACCTCTCCCGACCTCGTTCATAATTACAGTCGGATCCTATAGGATCATCACCTACCACCATGTCTCGATGGCGCTTCAGGGGAGCTAGCCCTTTTCGTGGGTAGAAAGCTGACACGCGTAGCATATTGCTCAGAAATTTCTTCCTCCTCTCCATTCTTCTCTTCTCTCTCTTGTTGCCCTTTGAAATCAGTCATCATGGTCAGGAGGTCGATTCCCCTTTTGTGCTGTGTAATACAGCCGTGGATTTGCCAGGCGGCTAGCCCTACCACCCTACCCAAGGCAGATGAATCAATCGTCCTTCCACGACAGGTTAACGGTGCTATCAGTTCCTCGACATTTCTGCGCAGAGGCTATCAATCGTGTGAGCATTGCCGCCATTGTCTCTTTCTCAGTGCATCATGACCATCTGGCTAATCGAACCAAAGCCGCGGTTTTAAACGGGCGCGTGTACATTGACGGTGGTGAGGTCTCGTACTACAGCGGTACTGACATCACCTTTCAATACTGTAAGACTCCACGCACTAACTGTCGAAATCATGGTATATCCTAACTCTCCCGTAGCGAACTCCCTGCTTTCTATCGATTTGTCCCAGGACTGGACAAGTGATTCAGTTCGATTCGACTCAACATCCAAACCGTCCGGTGCCGCCAACCTCGCTGGTGGAGGGCTTTGGGTAGACGAGACGGATGGTGTCTTATACACGGGATTCGCCGGCACCAAGTCTAATTTCGGAGATAACGCCGATCAGCCTCAAGGCCTATGGTCATTCAAGCCGGATGGCACAGGAGGCGGAACCTGGCAAAACCTGAACAACACTGCAGACAAGACGTTTACGGAACAGCCGAGACCGTACAAAGGCAAAACAGCCAGTGGCAATGGTTTTGGTTACTTCCTTGGAGGTACGCAAGCTTACTATCAGCGGTCTTGGAGACTTCTTTGTAGGAGATCTGTGAAGCTGACCTCGATCAACAGGCTATGAGAGGTTCGGTACCAATGCGTCGGATCTCACTGAGGCACCGATGAGCAGCCTTCTTACGTACGACTTTGCGTCGAAGAAGGTCACCAACGAAACCGTTAACCTTGCCTCCACACAGGGGTCGGAGCAATTTGGAAGCATGCTTTACGTTCCCAACTTTGGCAAAAAGGGCATCCTCGTTTCCGTGGGAGGTCTCATCGCGAAATTGCAGACAGACAACAACGACGAGAAGCGCGTTTCCCTGGACACAGCACGCATCTTCGACATTGACAGCAGAGCTTGGTTCGAACAAAGCACATCAGGCACTCCCCCCGCACCAAGGCAGGAATACTGTATGGCTGGAGTGGCATCGGACAACCAGACCTACGAGATCCTCATCTATGCCGGCTGGGGTGGTCATTTGGGCAGTGCATCCGTACCCTTCGACGATGCCTACGTGCTCACCCTGCCTGGGTTTTACTGGACCAAAGCGCCCTACACAGCGCGGAATCCCAGACACTCCCTCAGCTGCAACGCGGTCGGCGGTGGTCAAATTATAACAATCGGAGGCGTCGACACTACGAGAGAAGGGCCCATAACATTGTATAAGGGCGTTTTCACGACTACTGATCCATTCCCACAAGGCATCGCGGTGTTTGATCTTGCCACTTTAAAGATCACAGACACTTACAAAGCGAACCGAACCTCGTACTCGCCTGCGTCTGCGATTCAGTCATACTATAACGATAAGTAAGTAACCTCCAACTCCCTTCAGAAGAAAAGACCAACACCCAAACACATTAGAATAATCACTAACCAGTCCCACCTTGCATCGAAAACAGAGGCAGAAAACCCGAGTCCGGCTTCACCAACAGCCAGCTAGAGTCCGTCTTCGCGAACCAAAACTTCAAAGCCACCGACAACAGCGACGCCTCCTTGCCCCCGACTCCCACCAACTCCTCCTCACCATCTCCCTCAGGCTCGAAAGACCCCTCAAGCAACACTGGGAGCAAGAGTAGCAGCAATGCAGGAGCCATCGCCGGCGGCGTAGTAGGCGGTGTCGCAGCCATTGCCGCGGGAATTGCACTGGGCTATTTCCTCGCTCGAAGACGTACCAAGAAAAAGGGCCTTTTGGAGAACGAGGAGCAGCAAGTCCAGCAGCAGCAGCAGCAGCAGCCACAATCACCGCAGGGACAACAACAACAACCACAAGAACCACAACAACAACAACCACAACAAGTACAGGAAATCAAATGGCAGCCGGGGGGTTACGAACCTTATCCTGCTGGTGGTGGCGAGGCGCCATACACTGATGGTCGTGGGTACGATGCGGTTGGATATCAACATCCGCAGGCTTATGAGCTCCCGCCACATCATGTTGTTCATGAGATGCCTGAGAGGCGAAATGTTAGTGAGATGCCTTGAGATTATGGTAACGACAGTGAGAGGATGGTGATCAACATGACGAAACTAGATGAGACGAGGGGGTGACGGCATACCACCTATTTTTCGGTTATGCATTCCCATTGACGAAGCACTTGATGAAGACCGAGGTCGATAATGGCTCTGTTAACAAGAGATTACCCCTTCAAATGAGATGCACAGACACATCACAATGGTGAATTGAATGGTTGATTATCCACAACATAGCTGACTATTCTACTGTTGCGATATCCTGGTCACTTCATGATTTCACTTTCATCTATGTTGCCATTTTATCTACTTCAAGCTAGTCGTTTTCCTTCCTTACCACCTCGCACACCCCTAACCCTCCAGCTCCGATTAACGCACTAATGGAAAGCAATTTGCACAGCCGTATACGCCGCCATCAACTTGAGCGCCAACAAGCTCAACGAGCTGGCGATGCCGAACTTGGTGCGGCCCTGCGGTCCTTTCTTGGTGTAGCCAATGGTGTATAATACCCTGGTCAAGCTCCACAGGCCGCCCAGGGCGCCGGCGAGCACGGGGTACTTGAGTCCCGCGATGAGCATGGAGCCAATGGCGGGGGTAAGGTTTTCGGTGAAGTTGGCGTGGGCGCGTTGGGCTTTTGTGATGGGGGGGATTTGAATGTTAGCTTTCATTGAATGACAGGGTACCTAGGTTTAAAGGAAAGGAAAAGGAAGGGGAGAGATGTAAAGAGGACATACCGCAGTTAAAGGCAAAAGCCTTGGGATCCTTCTCGGCCACCTCCTGGGGGGCGTAGGCGGCGGGATACTTAATGCCCGCGGCCTTGCGCTGGATGCCAGTGTTGATGGAGTGAAAGCTGTTGGCGAAGAAGGTGGAGACGGTGGCTAAGAGGACGTAGCTAGTAGAGGATGTGTTAGTACGAGATTATAAGGGAAGTAATTTGAAGAATATGGTGATGTTAACTTACCCGTACTCGTCGGGGAGAGTCAAGATGATGGCCATTTTGCTTGTTGGTGTGATGTAGTTGGTTCGTCAAAGTTGTGAAGCTGATGGAAAAGAGAGTAAGCAAAGGCAAGTAAGTGTTGTATGATTGACAAGTCAATCAAGATGATGCTCTACGAAATGAGGGAAGGAGGGAAAGATCACTCACTCACGTATATCTCCTGGATATTTAAATAGTTTCTCTCAGTCTATTTGCAACCCTCTTTGCTCTCCAGTTATATTACAAGTTCACTCGTAGCAACCGAACTTGATTAGTCAAACCGTATGCTATGATGAACCCTCATCAAGAAGAGGTCATCTGTGGAGTTTCCAGCTGCTTCCAACGGCCAACGCTAGCCATTGGCCAATCATGTGTGACCTCGGACTCTGCATCACCCCGGTGGCAGAAAGGACACGGTACGATTTGTGCACCTATTCCGTTAAATGGAAGGTTTGTTACCCCGACCGACCGACTGTTGTGACTTGTTTCCTTGTCCGACGGTTACGAGGATATCATTCCGTTCTTCAAAATCGTACACTCTTCTCATCGCCGATCATGCGTGCCTGTTTGAATGTGTCTTGTCAATCATGGTCTCATACCTCCCCCCGATACTTCAGTTGCGAGATCAACCAAACAGTTGAAGGCAACATGTCTGACCTACGATGCATCTAAAGACAGTTTCATGGCTTGCATAACCGTTACCCGCAACCTCCCTAACTCCATTTCCCCTGAACACTGAGCGGGAAGCGGGCGATTCCAGCAGGCCATCCAGATCTCCGGGTACGGCACAGCGCTGAAAGACAACTCGCAGCCAACCATCCCAGACAGCGATATCTGTCAGAGGGATTGCATCATTTCAGCCCTACAAAAGAAGACCCCTTTGCTTGAATTATAGCATTATATAACCAGGTTGAAGGTTAGGTATACAGTATCAACAGCTCTAGTTTCCCCAATTTCGATCAACCAGTACACCTCTCCTCTGGCGGCCGCCACTCCAGTCCCAGCCCTTCAAACACCCGTCTCTCCGCCGTGAGCATATCCGGCGCCGGCTCACCGTTCGGCCCGCTCTCAAAATCGACCCAAGTCCCATCAGCCCTACTCCGGATCCCACTGCTATCAAACTTGAGCGACCTTTCCTTCTTGCAATACCTCCTCAGATCCCTCTGAAAAGTCGTCCCGCTCGTCCAACCCAACACCGCACACCCGGCCGTCTTCCACGGACTGATAATGATATCGACCCTCCTGTGCGGATTCGGATTCTTTTTCTCGCCCGTCGTCCAGTGCGGATCCTGCCACACCACGAGCGCCTTATCCAGCGTGTCAAACCCCGTCCCGCTCTTCTTCTCGTTCCCCTTCCAGGCCACAGGCTCCTGCCCGCGCTCGGTGTTGGCCGTGCTCAGGATCAGCGTGTGTGTGATGTAATTTGACTGTTCCAGTGCCACTACGATCTGCTCAACAAAACCCCTGGTTGCGGCCTTGTCCGGGTGACTCAGGACAACGTCCACGTCGCCGCTCGCCAGCTTGCCGCGGCGGTACCCGCCTACAATGACCATTTGAAATCCCGGGTGGATCTTGTTGGCATGCTCGAGGATGATGTTGGCGATAGACTCGACCTCGGCCCGAGGTATCTTCTGCTGGAACTCATCGTAGTACTTGACGCCAATCTGTTGGACGCGCGTCAGGGTGTCCCAACCGTATTCAATAATATCGTCAAGGTCGCGCCAGCCTTTGTTGTAGAACTCGCGGGCAGTGGTCTCGGCGACGCCCCAGATCTCGTGGAAGAGCTTGAGGACGGCCAGCCGGGGGTCGGACTCATCTTCCTTGGCCTCCTGTAGCTCGCCTTGTTCTCGGAACTCTTGGTACAGCTGGGCGATCTTGAGGCCGCAGCCTGGTAGTCTCGCTACTTCGAAGGCGCTCTGGAGAAGGTAGGGGTAGGAGATGAGAGCGGCTATGGCGCTGGAATAAGCGCGCACTCCAATCTTGTCACCTAGCAGCGTCCTGGCTGTTCTGATTTTCGTGAGCTCCTCGATGAAGGGTTCGTTGGGTGGATGCGTGGGTGCAGGACGCTGGCATGCATAGGTGGTGTGCAGGTAGGCAGGGATGGGGGGCAGCTCTACTTCATGTTCTGAAGTGGTCATATGAAGCAATGCTGGGGCCTTGGTGATGAAGTGATCGCGTCGACCGTGGCTGGTAGTGCTGTGAGAAGATCCAGGCCGTGAGCCATGGGAAGAAGGCTTCGGGTCTGCTAGTGCACGTTTGATGATATTCGCGGCCTTTGCTGGTGATGCTTGCTGCAGCTTGGCGGGTTTGCTCTGCTGTTTCCGACCTCTGTATAAGGTATAGTCTTCTATGGGTAGGACTGTCCCGGCTTTGAGAGACTCGGTAAACCAGGCGAGCTTGACCACCTTGACAGTTGTGGGGGCTGCTTTAAGAGTCGACTGAGTTGACTGGGTTAGGAGAGGATGAAAGTCGCCATCTGAGGCAGTGTCAGAGTCTTCTGTGATAACGGAACCCGGTGTCTGGAACCTCCTTCGCTTGAGGCTGGGAGACGTAGGTTCGTCTGTCTCCGTTGTCGATATCTCTTCTGTTACAAGTTTGTGTTTTCTAAGCTCGAATAAGACCCGTTGTTTCCGGTGCACGTTTCCCAGGATGACTTCGGCCTCATTGATGTCATATGTGAGGGTTGGTATTTGTTCCTCCAACTCGTGGAGCTCGTCCGCCCCGAGATTGGTAGGAAGCAGAAAGATGACCGGGAAGTCCAGTGTCATTGTCGCCAAATGTCGACAACATCAATATCCAAATAGGTCGGCATTATTCGACAGCGATGTCCAAAGAGCTCGGAATGGTGAAGGGCCGTTGGGCCGCCGAAGACTACACCCCGCAATATCCAAAAATGACAGCACAAAACGGCTGATACCGAATCAACACCAAGGTCTAGAACAGGACAGCCAGCGAGCCCAGGTTTGATATCTGTAGTCTGAATCGACACCAGCCTGTGACGTGCATCAAACTTTGTGCCTCGTGTCAACCATGCGCACAACTTGAAGATGGGATGAGGAGAGATTAATGGGAGCCACACAAAGATATGAAAGCAAAAATCGTGAAGCCACTGATGAAGGTCAAATTTCCAGTTGGAGGTGTATGGACGTTTTGGGGCTCTGGTTGTTTGGCTTGGGGACCGCACATGACGAAATGAATTGGTTCAAGTCTCGAGTCTCGAACTGAAAGCATCAAGGGAATCGGGTGCAGGTAAACTGAACGGCCTGGAGAGACGTGCACAATTGCGCACTGTGCTTAACAGTTCACTCAGTTTCGGTGGAGGCGGTCCATGCGCTTGTTCGAGAAACTTCATGTATGTGTACGTATTATACAAATCTGTTACATGGCCTCGCCGCCGCCGTTTCCATTGAACTTGCGTTTTTGATAAGCTAACAGAACTCATCACCGATATACCTTTCAATCATATATTCAAACATGTTGAGTCAGATCACGCTGCCGCAGATACTGAATGTCTACATGTGAAATCCCAGGTACGTACCACTCGCATGCCAGGACCGTAACGGGCATTTGATGTACGCAGCGCTGCGGGACCATCCACTAGCATTGCTTGGCGCTGTTAGAGAGCGGGAACAAGACCCGCCTCACAAGGTTCAACCTCAACCTTCACTTCACTTCACTTCGACTTTTTGATTCATCATCAACCCGGCGTCATTCATTTGTGCCCACGGGCCTATATTCTAGTGCCTCAACCATCAACGTAACTTGGGCAGATTATAGCACTCGAGGTTCTTGGACGACCGGCCTTTCTTTTTACGGACCGTGACTGCGAATCTTTCGCTGGACTGGCAATCCTTCGATTTCATACCTGGAATATCAAAGTCGTGACATCGCAGGCCCGGGCATCCTTCTTTTCGCTCACTATCACCAATATATCTTATCGCCGCCGGCCGGGTGTCTATTTTTCGTCGACTCTCGTCCCATACTGTCACTCTCAGCGCTGGTCACTTCTCGTCACCCAACAACAGCAGTTCACCTATTGATCAACCAACATACACCGCACACCCACCACCACTGGAAGGAAATTGACAACAAAAGGGAGCGCACCCGCAACGGGGCCAGTCGCCAAACATGGACATCGCCAAAACCCTCATCCGCTGCGTCGTGCGCGCCTTCTACAGCACGCAAGAGATCCTGATCATTGACGCCCTTGTCCAGCACTCCTGCCTCCGTGACGACGACCTCGGTCATCTGATGAAGCTGGGCAACAAAGACCTACACAAAGCGTGCGCCGGCCTCCGCGACGCCCGCTTCCTGGTCGTGCACACGCGACCCGAGCTCCAGGCGGGAAAGACGCGCCCGCAGAACAAGACGTACTACTACATCGACTACCGACAGACCATCGACGCCATCAAGTGGCGGGTGTACAAGACCGACAAGGACATGCAAGGGATTGCCAAGCCGTCCGAGGAAAACAAGGAGTACGTGTGCCCGCGCGTGGGTTGTGAAGCGCAGTGGAGCCAAATGGAGGTTCTCGACTCGGTCTCCTCGCGCGGGTTTACCTGTCAAAGATGCGGCGCCGTGCTGGAGCAGGCCAAAGAGCGCGAGGCCCCCGGGCATCAGCAGCTGTCGAGGATGAACAACCAGTTCAAGTTCATGACGGATATGCTGCAGGAGGTCGACAAGGTAGTCATACCCGAATGCAACTTTGATCTGGCACTGGCGAACGCCAGGCCCATCGTCAGACTGGAGACGCACGAGGTGGCGCCTAGCGTGCCGGTGGACACGGCGCTCAACAAGCCGAGCGCCGTCAAGGGTTTGGCCAACACGGGCCCCAAGACGATGCAGGTGATCATCTCGACGGGCGATGATGATGCGGAGCAGGCGGAGGCGGCGAGGAAGAGGCAGGAGGAGCTGCTGAGGCAGAACGCGCTGCCGGAATGGATCACGTCCAGCTCGGTACCGACGACGGGCGGATTCAAGGGTAGTGGTCCAGCTGCTGCGTCGCTGCTTGATTCGTCGTCGGCGGTCAATGATGAAGCGGCGGTTAAGGATGAACCTCCAGCTAAGAAGGTCAAGATGGAGATCCAGGGCGATATCTCTGTGAAGGATGAAGAGCACATGCCTATGAGCTTCAAGATGGAGGGCGGCGATGAGGAGGAGGACGATCTCGAGTTTGAGGATGTCATGTGAGCAGAGTAAACAGATCTGGCACAACTCAAAGGGAGAAAAGAACGAGAATGAAAGGCTCTAAGGAGACTGGCGAAAGATACGAACTTTAACATGTATTGGCGGGAACATCATCGATCACTCTATGATGATCACGATGGTTACTGTGATATGAGGTTGGTCATAGAGTCGGCTCATGCGGTCCTTGGACGTCAAATTTACCGCACGAAACCACAAACTACATCAGATTGGTTTTACCAGATAAGATTGGGTATGATACGCACAGCAAAAAAGCAACCAAGCATGCGTCAAAGAGGGATATGGGAAACACGTGGGAACAGCTGCTGCTCCTTTAAACATTAGAGATCTGAAGCATCTGAGAATTGGGGTAGGGGGGGAAAAATCCACCGAGTGGGCATGGTTACTTCCTTCACACGAAAGGAAAACTTCATAAATTATAGAGAAGGAAGTGGAACTCGAGGTTTGAAGCTCATTCTTCGGAGACAGAAGGACTCGTCATTGCTTCAGTTTGCTTCTATTCCTTGAGCACAGCCAATTTGTACATAGACGAATGCAGCACATATCTGAACACAAGCAAAAAGATACCACAATATGAGGATGGGAGGCAAGGGGGGTCATTAAAAGGAACAAACTAGAAGAGCGAGAGAAGCACATCTATCCTTGAAACCATTATGCAGTTGAGCTACCCTTTACTTGATTGATGGTACCTTCCTTTGAACTCCTTCCGATCGATTTGTTTACACTGCCCGCCCGCCTGAAGTGGTTTCACCCAGTTCACACACATAACCATCAGATCCCCGCCGCCTAACGGGAGGCCATACATGACATGGCATTACACGAAGTCCTCCACTACCAATGACTACTTAGTTGTACTTGCGAAGCTGTAGTGATAATCCGTGTTAGTATACGATCCTCAAATGGTCAGCAACAACAAGGGGGAAAAGAAACTCACATCCAACGTCAAAGTCTTGGAGCTATTCACGTCCTGATCGCGATAAACGCCCACCAAGCTCTCGCTATCTTGAAACAGCCCAGCCTTGAGACTGATGACGATAAATTGCATTCCAGGACCCGCATGCTCGCGGATGTACTTCTTGATCTTTTCCACATTGGCATTATCCAGCGCCGCGTCCACCTCGTCCAGCACGAAAAAGGGTGACGGCTGGTAACTGTGGATCGCAAAGAGCAGCGCTAGCGCCGCCATGGTTTTCTCACCGCCCGACAGGTGCTCCATGTCGCGGAACCGCTTGAGCGGCGGCATGGCGTGGTACTTGATGCCCGACAGGTAGGGGGTATCCGTGTCCTCCTCGATATCCAGGTACGCCTGCCCACCGAGCGGATAGGCGTCTGAGCGTGTGAGGTCCTTGTACACGTGCGTGATCTGCTCCTGAATGTGCGTGAAGGCCTTGTTGAAGAGCTCGAACCGCTTGTCCTTGACCTGGTTGAAGGCATCCCGTGCCGCCTTGAGGGCGGCGCGCGAGTCCTCAAAGTCCTTTTCCGTGGACTCGAGGCGCGACTTGACCGACTCGAGACGCTCGATGGCGCGCATGTTGGGGTTGAGCTTCTCGATCTCGGCGGTAAGGGCCGAGATCTTTTCTTGCAGCTTCTCTTCGACTTCGTCGTTCGGGTCTTGAAGTAGTGCGTCATCGAGGTTGTCGTAGTTAATTTCAACACCGTAGTCGTCCATGGCAGCTTCGAGAAGCTCGGCTTCCTGGTCTTCATCCTCGCCATCAACATCCATGGCATCCTGGTCCTTCTGGAGTAACATGTCCTCGTTTGGAATGTCGTCGAGAGAGCCTTGTTGAAGAGGAATCTGGATCTGCTCAAGCTTGCATCTCCTGAGCAGGGCAAGCTTTTGAGCACTACTCTGCTGAACTGTAGCCTCCAGATTGCTGATCTCCTTCAACCTGACTTCTATGTCTCTGCTCCTCCTCTGTAGGTCTTGCTTGGCCTCCTGAACCTTCTTGGTCTTTTCTGCGTGGGAGACCTTGAGCTCTTCTAGACTCTGCTCAAGCTCCTCGAGCGCCTCCCGGTCTTCCGCCAGTTCCTCTTCGATCGATGCTTTCTCTTGTCGGTATGTATCGAGATCTCGTTCATGCCGTTGTAGGGTCCGTTCTAGCGAGTGTATCCTGTCGCTGGTCGCCGTGTGCTGTGACGTTTCCCATGTGATGTTGCTCTGGATGCGTTGTTTTTGGATATCAAAGTCTTGCCGCTTCTGGGCAGCTTCTTGTTCCAAAGTGCCCTGCTGGGCTTCGTAGGCACGGACGTTCTCGTAGCCCAGTCTCTTGCAGAAATCTTTAAAGATCTTATCCTCGACGTCTGAGATGGCTTTTTCGAACTTCTGTACCGTTGCCCGCGTCCGCTCCAGCTCACCGTGCTTTTCCTCATACTTGGGCTCGTAGTCGTCCAGCTGCCGCTCCTGATGATCGAGCTCTTTCTGTTTGCTCTTGAGATTCTTCTCAAAGGCGGCCAGTTCACCTTCCTGAATCTTGAGGCGTTGTTCAAGCGCTGTGAATTCAACCAGCAAAGCATCCTCCTTGGCGGTTCGTCGCCCAGAGTGCGCCAAAGCTGCCACCTCGTCTTTCAATGACTGTGCCATCCGTTGCAGATTTTGGATGTCATGTTCCTCAAACCGACGCTTGCCGCCCTTCTCATTAGGTAAACGGCCACCAGTCATGGTACCAGCCTTGTGAATCACGAAACCTTCCAGCGTGACAGCCTTGACTTGGATCTTTCTACCGTATACGATGTCCTTTGCGATATGGAGATTGTCGCAGACGACAGATCCACCACAAGCGTAGCTGATGGCACGCTCGAGGGAAGGATCAAAGTCAATTGTATCAATGGTCAGTCGTGCTCCGGAAATGCCCTTAACTGCCGAAACTGAGCTGTTGACCTTGATGTTGTCGAGCGGAATAAACGTCAAGGGAGGAAACCGCTGCTCCTTGAGATACTGCACGCAGTCCATCCCAACCTTCTCGGTGTCCACCACAACTGCATCGAAGTCACGTCCAAGGGCTGTGATGACCGCCTCGTCAAATTTTTTCTGTTTGGGTTTGCAAAGATCTCCAACCCGGCCTCGGACACCTGGGTAGATGCGCCTGAGGTCGCTGATCATGTTCCTCAATCTTGTCTCCTTCTCATTCTGACGCCGGCCAGATTCCGCATCCTCCAGCTTGCGAAGGATTTCCCGCAGCTTCTCCTCCTGGGCGGTTCTGGTCTGGTTTATCCTTACGCGCTCAGACTGGAGTTTGTTATACTCTTTCTTCTTCGCGGCGATATCGCTTCGGAGTTGTTGTACCGCGTCCTGGCTGGCGTCTTTTCTATCCTTGATCGACTGAACCTCGGTCTGCAGCTTTTCAATAGCGGCCTCAAAGTTGTCGATTTTCCCTTTCAGGCTGTTGACGGTGACCTCGTCACTCTTGAGCTGGCGCGTGAGGTTGGCCAGCTTGGCCCGGTTGTCGGCAGTTTTCTTCATAGCTTCGGCTTGAAGACTAGTATATTCCTTGCGGTCCTCATCACTAAGCTCCTTGCCTTGCTTCTTGAGTGTTTCGGCCCATTGCTTTTCGAACTGCTGCTGCGCTTTCTCCACGGTGGCGAGGTCCTTTTGCAATTTGGAGATGCTAGATGCTTGGCTGTCGCGGTCCTTTTTCACCTCGACAATGCGCTTCCGTAGCACACCCATATCTTGGGTGCTTTGCGCAATCTTTTCGTCGATTGGCACAAGACTGTTTTCCTTGTCTTCAATGTCCTTTTCCTTGGCCTTGATGTTCCTCTCAACCTTGCCCATCTCACGTCCTACCGTAGCCTGCTCCTTGCGAGCAGCATCCAGTTTGTTTTCAAAGGCTTCAACATTCCGACGGAACTCTTTAAGGTTTTCCTGGTGCTCCTGGATTTGCGCGCTAGACTCGTCCATGACCTTCTGAAAGTGATATAGCTTCCACAGGATATGGGTAATGACGGCCTCATCTCGTTCTTCGGTTTTCCGTTGGAAGTTTTCGGCCTCTTTCTTTTGTTCCTGATACTGCTTGATTTCCGAGTTGATGCCTCTTCTCCGGTGCAGCTGGAAATTCTGGTTCTCAGCAGCCTGCTCAACCTCGGCCTGCAACTTCTCATAATCGGCCTTGTATTCAAGACTTCCGGATATCTGTTCGATCAAGCGTGTAAGATCTTGAGGCGACTGCGAGGCAATGGCCTCAACGTCTCCCTGGAAAACCAGGAAGTTACGCGCCTTGATCAGGATATTTTCAGCCTCAAGCGCATCGTTGTATTGCTGGGCGGTAACCACTCTATCGTTGATGCGGTACTCGCTGGATCCACTATTTGTAATGGTTCGCTTCCACCGTTGCTCGTCGCCAGCATCGTCTTCGTAGACGGCCATGACCCAAGCCGTCTTGGGGTCGTTCCTCGAGGATCGTTGGGAAGGATCTTCGTCTTCGCCGTCTTCGTGCCCATTGACGCCGTTAGTAGCGGGGGCAGCGGTGCCATCTTCTTGGATTTTCGAGGTTTTCATGACACGGCCACGGTAGACGAGGTCTCGGAGATGGGTCGATCGGAGGTGTGACGATTTGATGCCCAAGACGAAGGAGATGGCATCCATCCTAGCAAGGCGCGCGCCCGTCAATATGAAAGCAGTCCCTACCGACCGCAAGCTGGTGCAACTTACGAATTTGACTTTCCAGAGCCATTGGGGCCGATGATGGAGGTGAAGTAGGAGTCGCCGAACAGGAGGGTGTGGTGGCCCTTGTAGGACTTGAAGTCTGGTTTACGGCAAACATGGTGAGTTTCGGCACGCTCGCGACCAAGGTGTCGTGCTTCGCGAAGAGCAGAATTCAAGACCTACTGAAAAGCTCGAGACGGATGAGCTTGCCCATGTTTGCGGTTGTTGATGTCCTGCAGGAGGACGCGCCGAAGGTATGCGAATGGGAATACTGGTTATAGTGTTGTTGAGCTAGCGCAGACGATACTCGCTAGAAATGGAGACTCGACGCGCTCCAACATGAATCCGCGGCGCGATCGGGGAACATCAAAAGGCGCGTAAACAGGACGAGGGTGGTGCGATGGGTTGGAATCGCAACCAAGCTTGGAATCGCAGGCAGATGTGGGCGCGGTAGCGGCAACAAGGTCGACCGGGTTAATCCAGTGTCGCGACTTCGTTTCCCCAATAATTTGCCCAGGGCAGGTCGCCAAGGTAGAGCATCTGTCGCATCCTGCAGGAGGTGGGGGAGTGCTGCACAGGCACTCGGAGCGATTGAAGGACAGACAGATGGGCGCTTGGACCATCCAACGCTTCAGTTCATTCGAGCTGTGCGGGATTAGGGGTTAGGGTTATAGCCCATGACTTACAAGTAGCCATGTCCACCTTGTCTTTTCGAGTATTACACCACAGGAAGCTGAAGGAGATCAAATCCCAAACGGTTTGAGAACAACACGAGGATACCTTACTTGGTAGAGGTTGTATCCGCAGCACATGTAGGTTTTTTGTTTGTTTCGCTGATAAATTTAGCCTTGCTTTAGGACACCTAACCGGCGAGCATTAAGAGGCAGCGATGTTCTGGACCTGCCTTTGTGGAACTCGTACTCACAGCCAAGGATGCTACGGGTCTTTCCAGCCTTACGAAACAAACGAAATCAAGCTTTCAATGTTCCGGATCTTCTCGGATCTCTTGACGAGGACCTTCTGTGCTCGATAGAGTTCAGTGACTCTCATCGGTTGACAGCAAAACGACCAAGATGTGGCGTAAATGGCTCGACTGACACGACAGATTGTGGCAGTTTTCCAGGGTTCTAAGTTCTGATACACTAAAATCTGCAGCCATAACGTCAGCGCGCCAATGGTCGCATTCTCTGCCAATGTTAGGCCTGCTTGCATCACATGCTGGGAGAACCTGCATCCATACACCGTCAGAACCGTCATTGGAGACCTTGCACCAACGACACTAACACGCCGTCCGTCGTCAGTCGTCACAAGGTCTTCTTCTTTTTCCAGTTCAAATCCGAGACATTGAGAGTCACACGTGGTCCAATTTTTTTTTTATCATCTACTTTCTCCCCATCTCCCCAGCCTTTAATCTGATCAAATTCAGACCACGTGTATCCATCTTATCCAAGTCTCTTATCTATCCTCCACGCCGAGTTCAGTATCGTGAAGTCTATCTGCAGCGATATCACCATAATTCACGTGTGCATATGTCATTTTCCGGTGCATCCCGTCTCTTCTTTTCCCTGCAAAGCTGTTTGACGGGAGCCAACAAGAATCCCCGACCCGCCACTGCCTGCATGCTGGAAACACAACACAACTTTTGCAACGCGCTGCAGCCCAATCTTGACGACAATCATCTCGTCTCGAGCTTGGTGCTCCACATTTGATCATCTAGAAATAGCTACGACATCCCCTCGACCCCAAAAGCACCTGCTGCCGCTTTCACTTCCGCCAATTACACTACCTATGGTACCCGACAAGCCTTCTCCATCTATTGACGTCGCCATTTGAAGGCTGTGTAAGTAAATCTCCACCACATGAGGGGTTCCGACTAGTACATATCAAACATGAACATACCATCTTTCCCTGCGATGGCCATCATGTCTCCGCGGATTTAGTCTGACCCATTGCCCCTTCACAGAAACCCTATTCCTTCCATATCACCCATTTGGATAACATTGTCGTATTTTGAGCAAGAACATATAGAACACGAATCACCAACCATGGCCGATCTGGCGGAACCGGAGATCAGTCTCCCGGTGTCGGGACTGAGCCACAAGTCAGAAGGCGCACCGTCTACCGATGGCGAGGCCATCTTGACCCCAGACACCCCCTCAACACCGCCTCTGAACTCTTCGCCCGGAGAACATGATCCGAATACCCCAACTCTCGATGTCACGACCCCGAAAAGTCCAGCCGTATTATCGAGGAACTCGTCGTTTTCGGGTAGCATAAGCAGCACTCTTCACGATGAGTGGGATGTCTTTCCCCCTCTCGATCGCTTGACTGTTCTCGACCTTCTCGATAATTTCGCGCTCCCTCAGCAGCTGGAGAAGTTGCAAAGAGGCATCCACGCCCGAACAGAGAAGATGCGCAAGTCCGGCGAGGCCCTGAAAGAAAAGAGTGCGATCGCTCGAGAGCGCATGGTAGATGAATGGCGCAAACGGGTCCCCACGGCCGAGGAGCAGCTGGAGCGATACAAAAAGCGGATGCGCGTCAACGTTGATAAGCTAGGAAAGCGCTGGAACGACACCAAGGTCATCACTCTCCGCGAGAAAGTAGCCTTCATCTTCGGCGTCATGAACATCTTTATCAGCGGTTACTTGATCGGCGCCTTCCCCGAATGGTTCCATATCTGGTACACTGTTCAGATCCTCTATTTCATGCCCATACGGTTCTACCGCTACCACAAGCAGGGCTACCACTACTTCCTTGCTGACCTCTGTTACTTTGTCAACTTCCTCCTGCTCCTCAGCCTGTGGGTGTTCCCTGGCTCGAAGCGCCTCTTCACCGCCGTCTATTGCTTAGCCTACGGCAACAATGCCATAGCCATCATCATGTGGCGCAACTCCCTGGTCTTTCACAGTCTCGACAAGGTCACCTCGCTCTTCATTCACATCATGCCGTGCGCCACCTTGCACTGCATTGTGCACCTCCTCGACCCAGCCGAACAGCGCAAGCGCTTTCCGTCCATCTGGACCATCAAGACCTCTCCGCCCGGCTCCCCGACCGCCTACGCCAACGTCATCTCCATGCTGGCCTGGTCCACGATCCCGTACGCCATCTGGCAGCTCGCGTACTACTTCTTTATCACGGTCCGGCGCCGCGACAAGATCGCCGCCGGCCGCCCCACCTCGTTCACATGGCTGCGCAAGTCGTACTCCAAAAACTGGCTGGGCAAGGCGATCCTGAACCTGCCCGACTCCCTGCAGGAGCCGGCCTTCATGCTGATCCAGTACACGTACGCGGTCCTGACCATGCTGCCCTGCCCGCTCTGGTTCTACTACCGCTGGCTGTCGGCCGTCTTTCTCATGGGCGTGTTTACATGGTCCGTATACAACGGGTCTACATACTACATCGACGTGTTCGGCAAGCGCTTCCAGAAGGAGCTCGAGGCCATGAAGGCCGAGGTGGCAAAGTGGCAGCATAGCCCTGACGGCATGGTGCATAGCCCGACGTTGACGCCGCATGCCGGAGCGCAGGAGGAGGAGAACAAGAGGCTTGGTGAGCCGACCAAGAACAACAACAACAACACTGACAGCAATGACAGTTCGGGTTCGAGCACAAGCAGTTTGGATAACATTCCGCTTTTGACTGAGGAGAAGAGCGAACCGCCTGCTAGCGCGACCGCGACCGCGACTGGTGCGGAAGTGGATGGTGGTGCGAAGGATGTGGCGAGGGCGAGGAGGCCGGGTGCAGAGTTGTTTACTGCTGGGGCGGCGCCGTCTTGATGTACTACTGTGTTTTTTTTTTTATTAAACCGAGCATGTTATGATCTGATATGAGTCGATATACGGCTGTTCTTTTTGGTTTCATATACAGATAGGTACCTGTTCCATGCCATGAATAGCGAGGCAGCACTGCCGTGTTGATGTTCATGGAAACGGCTTGGTGCGGCAGCAGGATTGCTTGAGTGAAGGTCAAATCACCCATATCTTTACGTTTTGATATCCTTAATGTTCACTATCTGTTTACACCCGTTCTCAGTTCGTCTACCAGGTGATGATGTATGATTGCTATGTCGTGTATCATGTGGATTCGGCATGGCATTTTGTTCCTTCTTTTCTTTTGGGCATTGAGGCCACCATGATACGCAGCATGAAAAATACGAAGGGCGCTTAATTCGCAAAGCTGATGGACAAAATCAGATTCTTGACGTAGCTGACTATCTGCCTACTAGCTATCTGCGAAAACCTCAGCCCAACTACTGCGAAGATAGCTCACCTCAACTGTCAACCAGTCAATCATATCTCCGGGTTCGTTGTCTAGATAGCCGAGTATTCACAGAATCCCGAGGCCGCTGCGTCTTCTCTACCGAGATATGATGGTTCTGTAAGGTCAGCCTCGCATCTTCCTGTGTCTGTTACCTGAAAGATGTCGATGGCTAAAATGATGTACGAATACTGTCGTCAGTTGGGCTGGATAAAGGAAAGGCTGGCTTGGTTGAATCAGACTTTCGTGTCATGTCGTCAGCTGAACTGGGAAGAAAAAGAGAGTGTGTGTTGTCTCAAACTTGGTCGTTAAACACGTTGGGATAGACACCGACGGGTATGAATGAAGAAGAAGAAAAAAAACAGGCCGGGAGAAACTAGAAGTAAGTGACCATGAGGCGTGAGTTTGGGTAGTATGCCGTTGTCTGTTTGTAGGACTCGGAGTCTGAGAGTCTGTGTGTTGCTTGGTGAACCGATATGGCTACATGTATCGATGATCGTGACTATGAGGCGTGAGTTTGGGTAATATGCCGTTGTCTGTTTGTAGGCCGCGGAATTTGAGTGTCTGTGTTTTGCTTGGTGATCCAATATGGCTATCGATGATCAAATCTGGAAGTTGAATAGTATCGCTTTCGGTAGTCCCAGTGGCAGGTAAACTTCCTGGTTGCTTTGCCGTCAAATACGGTCAACACTCAGAGCTCCATTTGAAGAGCTTCAATCAGCCCATGAAGCTTTTTGAAAGGCTCTAGCTTCTTTTTGAGAAAAGCAGCGGTCTCTTGAACACTGGAGAGGTCGTTCAGTGCCTTCACATCATCAGGCCTTAACTGAAGTAGCTCAAAGATCGAGGTGCTCTTCAATGTGTCTACCGTCCAAGCATCCCTGATGTCTAGCTTCGAGTAGAACTGAATCATACGCTCAACTTCTGAGATTTTCTGCCCGAGCTTCTCCTCGGCTTTATCACAAAGCTTCAGAAACTCCCGGTAATCCACATTCTGCATTTCCTTTTCGGCGGCTGTGTGTGCAAATGACGCCAAGTCCCACACAATGCTGATGCATGGACTAATCCCAGGCAATTTGTGAACTTGACCAAGAAGCTCCTTAACGGCTTTCAGCGCATCCCGTCTATTGCCGATGACAAAAGAAATGTTGCGAAAGATACTGTGGTAAGTGTGATCTGATTGCTTCCACCTCTTAATGAAGAGGCGGCCGAAGCCGTCCATCCCAATTTCCTCGAGGATGTCCCTGGGATTGGAGATGGAAATGTCCGTCGCAGTCACAAGTTTTTCGAAATCGTCCATGAATTCAATGGCGCTGGTGGCGTTGAAAAGAATTGCTTCGTCTGAGATACGACTTGAGTCAGGTTCCTCCAAGATCCGCGTCAGACGATGGATTCTCTTCCTCGCGTCGTCGATGCCCTGGCTTTCGGAGTCTTGTGCTGCGTCACGCTTACGCTTCCGAGAAGCACCATGCTGTGACGAGGACGACATGGTGGTGGTATGAGTCAATAGCACGTCGTATAAGACCAAACCAATCCTGTACTGCTCTGCGCAACAGTTTGGCCGTGTAGAAGGTATATGTTGGAGGCTGGAAAAGCGACAATGAAAAAAGGGCTTGATTGGAGTTGTCTAACGGAAGAGGAGAAACGGAAACCAGGGCAGCCTAAATACCCAGGAAGGGAGTGCCAGTGAATGGGCAAGGCCAGTGAATGGACGGCCCTAGGCACGGACTTCCAACAGTATAACTTTTATCTACTATAGTCTGAGTTAAATCTGATATCGCTCGAAGAATTTGGTCGCGAAACGTTACCGAGGGTGAACTTGACCCGACGAATGGGAGATAAAACGAAGGCGAAAGAGAAAATACTTGTCGATAATAAAATATGTCACTGAAATGCAGTCCTACGGCGCGATGTGCCTTCCGTATTCTCTCGAACGAGGATCAAGGCTGGGGTAGTCACAGGGTCGAAGGTCTGAGGGTTGAGTGTGTCGTGGTAATCAGGTTCCCATTGCCTGCTGCCGAAGCAGCAAAAATGAGTGGCTTGAGAGCACCAGGCTTGTGAGAACAAAAGGGCCTTGACAAGGTTAATGTAGGTAGCGGAGGGGACTGCTTTGGCCAACTGAGGCTACCTTGGCGAGAACCAAAGCTCGAGACGGTTCTTGGAACGGAAGAGAAGTTTGCGTTTGAGTTCGAGGAAGAAGAGGTCCTTTTATAGTACACCTTCAGACGAGATAGCAAAGTTGAGATGAACGAGAAACAAGACGTTTGCTCCCCTGGAGCGTCTAATAACTATAATGCTTCGTCTTTAACGCTGACATTGATCGACCAGGCTTCGATTGATACGTGGACCAGCGTAGCACCCGATGGATGATGAATGTCATGATGTTGATTCTCTAACTGTTGAGAGAGCTGAAGGCTCCGTTGACGGGCCTTATATGCAGCTCATGCCCTGAGGTAGCTGCTTCCCTCAACGGGTCCCATCGTGTGCCTCGTGGTTTCCTCACGGGAAACCCCGTGTCATCGATCTTGACACCACAAGTTTGACAGACTTGGTCTTGTTTTTTAATCTCGTGCTACCTATGTATTTCCCTCCCATTGTCTGCCTGTACCGATGATCTTACAAATACACGAACACTGCCAGATGGTGGCAGCTAAGATGCTTCGTTCCGAGCAGATAATTCTCAAAGCGGAAACGACACTTCTCGGAGCGAAGGCATACTGATCTTGCCAGTCCAACATAACTCCCAGCTTCATGATTGCTCGGGATTGAAGCCAAATATAAACAACACACGGTAATTTTCGAGAATGCTACGAACGCGAGAAGCAGTCTGAAGAAACTTCTCAAGATTCCCCGATAGAGAAATCCTCCCCTCAACATATGTCTCCAGAGTAGGTCGGTCGCCTCTCAAAAGATGAGCCTCTATGCTTCGCCAATCAACGTCGCGTAACCCAAAGGCATGACAAATGTCACTGATCCTCCCACTCTTGATTTCTGACAATTGCATTTCAAGTAACGTCTTTTGTGCAAGCACTTTCATTCCTTGTATTTTGTGGCAGAAAGTGCCAACAATTTCTGCGGCGCTATCCAATATGGTCTCCGGGATGGGATGTTCGGAATTCCCAAGCTCCTGGACACCCCATAAGAGCGTGAACCACGGGAAATGCTCGGGGTATCTGGGACCTTCTGCACGCCAGATTTCCCTGATATCGTGGAGGAGCTCCTTCACAAGCGACATCAAGATTGACCGGGCTTCTCTTACTTTTCTGACATGTATGAACTCTTTCGCGAAGCTTTTGCACAACGAGTCAGGGGTGTGAACCTGAATTCTGCCAAACTGATCGATGGAAAAGTTGTCTAGCAACTCGCTTCCGAGTAATTCCAGTTGTTCAACGGCATGAAGTCCATTTAGGAGTCGGACTTTGTCGGTGTAGATTTTCTCGGACGTCTTGTCGGGTAGGTTGATGAGACGTAGAATACTTTGTCGTTGCTCCACCTCTTCTTCGAGACGACGTAGAGATTCAGCTACATTGTTGGCAGGGTTCATTTTGCCTCGAATGGATGCGAGAAACTTATGTGAACTGCACGGTGCCCTTCAAGATGAACCATGTACCGATATGCGGAAGATGAAGAAAGACCTTGTTCGGTCCCCCCTAATGTCAATGTAAATTCACAGCTCTGCCCTATCTCAACGTGTTAGCGACAGATAGCTAGGTACCTCTGCTAAGGACCCGCCATGGCATAAACCAAATTGATGGAAGATAGATGCATCGATTCTGGCGGAAACTCACCGAATGAATTGACTAGGACTTCTGTCTTCACTGACGTAGACCTTTGACGCCTTGGAGGGACAACATACAAACCCAGTTGTAGTGGAAATGAGACTTCGCCAGAGCAAGCTCGCAAAGTGCTTCAAGCCAGAGAATTTGCGATCTTGGTGGGGAAAAGAAGCCGTCCGTAAATTCGAAAAAGTGAATATAAGGCAAATGAGTAAAGGCCAAAAAAAAGCAAATCGGTCATGTGATTATTGTGACGAGCAAATGGAACCAACAAGTGTGTTTTGAGGAGGGGGGCTGGGTTTATATACACAATTTATTGCAGCATACAGACGTCCAACCTTCCGTCTGGCCTATCTCTGACATCATGTTCCTGCCTTGACAGCCATCGCATGATGCCCTTTCACAACAGCTTCCTTCTACACGAGCAGTAGCTCTTTCTTGGGAAAGGAGGAGCCTTCTATACTTACCTATATATCAACCGTCACCTTCCTACGAAGTACCCGCCCTCTTCCCTCGTTACGGCTAGGTAGATGTAAGAAGTTGGGAACGCCCGTAGGGGCAGACATGCGTTGCTCGATCCCGACAGCAACGACGCCGGAGAAATCAGCTCAGGAAAGCCCGATTTTTTTCCGTAGCCGCGTAGCCGCGTGTCGACTGTCGCGTTGAGGAGGAGGAGAGGATGCGCTGGAAGACAGATAATATGAACACAGGCAAGAACGGAGCAGGATGAATGGGGGAACGAGCAGGTAAGGCCTCTGATGTAGTCACAAGAAAGAAAGGCTAGAGAGGGACTCATGCCATTGAAGAGGGGTTGAGACTGGAGAAGACGGTGTTGATGGAAAAGATGACACTATGCGATGGCGGAAAGATAGTCTTACTCGAGACTGGCAAAAGACTGAAAAGTTCTCGGAAATAGATAAATTGCGGAGTGTCGACGATTGATAGTTCGCAAGATGTGTCAAGAGACGTGCAAGAAGATGAGGAAGAAGAAGAAGAAGAAAATAGACGACCGAACAAATATTACATCCTCGGAATCGTTGCTAGCTGTACAACATGAATCTTGCATAGCACATTACGATATGAGTGTTCTCTATTCACAGCCTGCATCATACGAAGGCTAGGAAACTGATATTCCAGAGTAAATGACCGCAGACCCGGCCCCTTCTTTTCAGACCTCGAATATCTCACCAATACCCTCACCACCACCCCGCCTATTCTCCACCAAGTCGAGCCTCCAGCCGTCCCAGTTCTTCAGCGCCCTCTTGAGCTCCTTGATTCGCTCAAGTCTCTTCTTCTGTTCCTCCTCATGTGCACGACGGAATGCTTCCTCATCAAACTCCATGTCATCATCCTCGAGCAACTCATCAAGAGCACCGCCGTGGCTATGATGATGATCACTGCCACCCGCAGCGCCGGTGAGCGCATTAAGGCCACTCGTAAAGAAGTCCCCCAGCCCACCCCGGCTCTTGTGGTGCTGGTGGCCGTGTGCGGACGAGTGCAGTCCACCGCCGAGGTCGACAGTCTCGAACGCCTCAGGCCCGACTTGCAGCTCCTTCCTCTTCTCATGCCAGATGCCCCTCCTGAGATCGGTGTTCTCGGCTTCAAGCTCTCTGATACGCTTCTCCAACTTGAGACGGCCCTCCTCCTCAAGCTCATCCAGACCTTCCTCTACACCGCCGCCTTCCCGAGCGTCCTTTTTCCGTAGCTTCAGGTTTTCCTCTTCCAACTTCTCAACCGTCTGCTTCAACTCCGCCACCTCCTTATCCACAAGTTCCTTATCCTTCCTGAGAGCCTGTGTCCTGCCATCCTGCTCCTTGTGCAACGTTGTAAGCGTAGCGACCTTCTTCTCCAGCGCCTCCGCCTTCTTCGCCAACTCGTCCTTGGCTTTATTCGCCTCCTCCACCTCCTTTTCCAGCGTCCGTAGCTTCGTCTCCGCCGACGCGCGCTGCGACCCCTCCTTGACCGCCTCCTTCGACACTCTATCCAAATTCTGCTTCAAATCCGCCAGCTCCTGCTGCGCCAGCCCGGCCGCCTTCTCCGCCCTCGCCAGCTTCTCCTCCAACGCCGCAATCTGCTCGGACGGCCCCGACGCCGAAGCGGACAGCTTCTCCACCTGCGCGCGCAGCCTGGACATCTCCAGCTCCATCGTCTCGATCGTCGCCGACTTGCTCTGTAGTTGCGCTTCGAGCTGCGCCGTCGCAGCCGACGGCGACCCGCCACCGCCCACCGAGATGGACGGCGAGCGGCCGTGGGCGCCGCCTCCGGCCCCGTTTCCGCCTGCACGCGCTAGTTGCGATTGCAGCTGTGTGTTCTGGCGCTGCAGCGCGGCTAGCTCGTTCTTAAGCTTCTCCACGTTCTCGGCCCCCTCCCCGCCTTGCTTGCCATCTTCCGCCTCGCGGAAATCTGCTAGCTCCTCCTCGGCCTTCTGCCACCGCTTCTCTGCGTCGGCGGCTTCCTTGGCCAGTCGCTTGTTTTCCTTCTCTAGCTCTTCTATGCGACTGACGTGCTTGCGGTAGATGTCAGGGGCGGTCTCGCCTTCTGGGCTGAGGAAGCTGGGGGACAGCGGGCCGGGGGCGCCCGAGATGGAGGCATTGCGGAAGGAAGTTGACCGGGCTCGCGATTGTTCGGCGAGAGAGGAGAGTGTTGGTGTTTGCAAAGGAGTCGGGGATTCAGCCTTCTCCTCCTCCTCTTCAGCGGTGGTTGTATCAGTCGCCGCGGGCTCCTCGGCTGTCGGTTCGCCAGCCGTCGGGGATGTGACTTCTTCGGATGGTTGTTCTTCGGTCTCGTTCACTGAATCTTTGGGGCTCGAAGGAGTCTCGGCAGGGGCTTCTTCGGATGCTGGCGGATTGTCTTCCTTCTTCTCCTCTTTCTTGGATGCGCCGCCGGCCTTTTTGGCTTTCTGCTTCTTCAGTGCTTCGAGCTGAAGGAGTAATTGTCAGTACATGTGGGCTAAGCTTCGAAGTGTTACACATAGCCAAGCACGGTACTATACCCTCTTCTTAGCGGCAGCGACCTTCTCGGCCTTGGCCTTGTCTTCGTCCGTCATGATTAGCTAGCTCTATGATGTTGCTGGTATTTGCTGATAATAGAAGCAATTCCGCAAGAATTCAACTAGCTTGGAAGTGATTTTAGAGATTGTGATTAATGTCAACCGTCACTATAAATGGACGCGCTTCGGAATGGATAGAACAGGACAGAGCAGGTCCGGTTGTCGTTGGATTGGTGGTTGTTGTCGCTTCCTGGGGCTCCCAAGCTATCGCATCGCGGGCAACATGCTAGGGAGCTGCAACAGTGCCTTGAGCGGCCAGCTGGCATCTGGTTGCCGCCAGTAACATCGACCGGCAGGGGTGTCGCATTTAGCGAGCCACAGGGGTTCTCATTGTCACGGCACCAAACACCACGATAAAACTGACCTCACCAAAAGCGTCTAACCATGACTGTTGATACCAAAGCATCAAACACGATACCTTGCGCGTCTGCTTGTCCAGCGGGATCAGCGAACTGCGATACTTTAACATAACGCTATGTGAACTTTTTAAATGGATTCTATTTTCATAACACTCGTCTCATGAGGGCGGCGGCTTTTGTTGCCGCGCCTGACCCTCTTAAAGCATGGACTGACATTCTTTCCTGATAGAATGTCGCCCGCGCTCTTAATATTGCCTTATTTATAAATCCGAACCAAGATTTCCCGATCCTTTCCTCGCTCCCTTCCATTAACCTCGAAACGACACTCTTTTTTTCCTTAAATGAGCTGCTGGAAAGCCCTGTTGATAGGAGAGCGGATGTTGGGGACATCCTTCCAGAAGTCGATGGTAGCGATGGCGCGCTTGGCAATGCCCTCGGGGGTGAACTCGAACTTCTGTAAATCGCAAAAGTGTTAGTAAACACGCCTTTGAAAAACAAAGACGGAATTGGAAGGGGAGTACTTGCCTTGTAAACATCAAGGTAGGCACCGGAGGCACCGAAGCGGTTGAGACCGAACTGCTCGTGAGAGTACTTCTCCCAGCCCATGGTGCTCATGACTTCAATAGACAGAGAGGGGATACCGTCGGGAAGAACGCTGAGGCGGTAGTCCTTGGGCTGAGCATCGAAGACCTCCATGCAGGGCATAGAGACGACACGAGCCTTGATGTTGTGCTTCTCCTTGAGCTCCTTGACGGCATCGATGGCGATGCAGACCTCGGAACCGGTGGAGATAAGAGTGACGTCGGCACCCTCAACCTCGTGGAGGACGTAGCCACCCTTGATGGCCTTCTCGATGGTGGAACCCTCAAGCTGGGGAAGGTTCTGGCGAGAGAGAGCGAGGATGCTGGGGGTGTGCTTGGAGGTAAGGGCGACATAGTAGGCAGCGCTGGTCTCGTTGCCATCGGCAGGACGCCAGACCATGCAGTTGGGGAGGGCACGGAAGTGGGCCAGGGTCTCAATAGGCTGGTGAGTAGGGCCGTCCTCGCCAAGACCGATCGAATCGTGGGTGGCAACCCAGATAGCGCGGACCTGAGAAAGGGCAGAGAGACGGACGGCACCAGCAGCGTAGGAGACGAAGTTGAGGAAGGTACCACCATAGGGGATGAGGGTACCATAGGCGGCCATACCGTTCATGATGGCACCCATACCGTGCTCACGAACACCGAAGCGGAAGTAACGGCCGGCGTAGGTACCAAGACCAGTGGCGGGAGGCTGGAAGTCGATGGCACCCTTCCACCTGGTAAGGTTGGAGCCGGTCAAATCGGCGGAACCACCAACAAGCTCGGGAACAGCCTCGAAGATCTTGTTGAGGACATTCTCGGAAAGCTTACGGGAAGCGACAGCGGGGTCAGCGGGAGTGTAGACGGGGAGGTGCTTCTCCCAGCCCTCAGCGAGTTCACCCTTCTGGCGACGGATGAGATCGTCGTGCTCAGCCTTGAACTCCTCAGCGTACTTGGCGAAGAGCTGGTTCCACTCCTCCTCCTTAGCAGCACCCTTGGCGGAAGCCTTGTGGCAAAGGTCATAGACCTCCTGGGGAACGGCGAAGCTCTCCTCAGGGTTGAAGCCGAACTTCTCCTTGAGCTGCTTGATGTCGTCAGCCTTGAGGGGCGAGCCGTGGACATCGTGGGTGCCCTGCTTCTTGGAGCCGAAACCAATGGTGGTCTTAAGCTGGATGAGGGTAGGCTTGTCAGTGACCTCCTTGGCCTTCTGGATAGCATCAGCGATCAAGTCAAGGTTGTGGTCGCCATCCAAGACGGTGACGATGTGCCAGCCGTAGGACTCGTAGCGCTTGAGAACGTCCTCGGTGAAGGCCTGGTTGGTGTCACCGTCAATGGTGATCCTGTTGTCATCCCAGATGGCAATGAGGTTGCCAAGCTGGAGGTGACCAGCCAGAGAGCAAGCCTCAGAGGAAACACCCTCCATCAAGCAACCATCACCAAGGAAGCAGTATGTGTAGTTGTTGACGAGGTCGTAGCCGGGCTTGTTGAAGACGGCAGCAGTGTGAGCCTGAGCAATGGCAAGACCAACGGCGTTGGAGATACCCTGACCAAGAGGACCAGTGGTAACCTCAACACCGGGGGTGTCGTGGGCCTCGGGGTGACCGGGGGTGATGCTGTCGATACGCTGTTTGCGCGATGCTGTGTCAGCCTTGTGTATCCTTCCGCCAAGAAAGAGTGGGCACTTACGCGGAAAGCCTTGAGGTCGTCGATGGTGAGGGCATAGCCGTAGAGGTGGAGGAGAGCATACTGGAGCATGCAGGCGTGGCCGTTACTAGGAAAAGAGGCAGGCGTTTTAGTCAAATGCTTCCTCCCATGGGGCTCGCTGAGCTCCGTTTTCGGTGCGGGGCAATTTGTACTTACGAGAGAACGAAGCGGTCACGGTTGAGCCACTTGGGGTTCTTGGGGTTGAAGTTCATGAAACGGTTGAAAAGAACGTGGGCAACGGGAGCCATGCCCCTAGAAAAGATGTCAGTGAATATTACGCTGGGAAGAAGCCCGCAGCTTCCACTTGAGCTGAGATGTCGGCGCAACTTACATGGGGGCACCAGGGTGGCCGGAGTTGGCATGCGCGGTGGCATCGGCCTGATCAGGAAAGCTGTCAGCATAACTGCTTCATATCGTAGTGAGGATCCCTTAATGTTTCCGATGTTCACATCGCAAGCCCGTAGCCCATGGTTGAGGCTCGAGAAACTGGTTCTTGCGATGATAACTCTTGGCGGGGTAAATCTCGCTGCTCCCCATGACGAGGCGCGGGGAATTGCAAGACTGCTTTATTGGGATTTTTGGAGAACACCGAGGGCGTAAAACAGAGTGCCAAGGGTATTACTTACAGCCAACACACGGATGGTGTTGATGGCGAGCTGATCTGTCTCGGTGAAGGACGACATGTTTGCGATTCTGGACAAAGATGTCGGATACTATGGGATGGGAGAAGGGTATCAGGGAAGAGAATTTGCAGAAGCAGAAGACAAGAGAAGAAGATAAAGACAGGAACTGGGAGGCGGGGTCAAGTTTAAACTGTTTCAGACGAGCACCTGGCAGGGACACCTGGGACACCACAGGCTAACGGAGAGAACGTTGGGGGTCAGATCCAAGGACGAGCAGTCGAGCGTTCATCCAGGTGGAAGATTATTCGACACTTGTTGAACCGGTGGTGGGGTAGGTGTTAGTAATTCACCGGAACTACTTCCAGAGGTAGGACTTGGCTGTCTGGTCAGGTACCACTGCACGAGGTATTTTTGTCGCTTTTTTACCTCTACGCGGGAGTACAGAACCAAATACTTTGAAGCCTCTATCATCAATATTATCATCATCATCATCATCACCACCACCACCGACCGCCCTCTTGTCGGCTTCATTACCAATTTACTGTCAGCAACGCTCACGGTTCGCCATGAACAGTGCCCACCTGAAACCCACCCATTTCTGGCCGGGTGCCGTGCTGCACGCTTTCGGCTGATCTGGTTCGCTCGGATGTGCTATTTAGTGGAGTTCGCCAGTTTACCCGGCGAATTCAGATCCAACTTTGACAGGGCAGGCCGAGACAGGCCCCGAAGCCCTGGAATCGAGCTACGATGCATCAGCTAGGACGACATCAGGGTCCCCTGGCTTTTTGAAATATCAACTGGAACTTTTACCTCATTTTTGTTTGTTTGGGTTTCGACTGTAAAACCAACATTCTACATTGGAACTTTGCCTTCTTTGGACCGTTTCGTCCCAAGAGTATTAGTGTACACTAGACCGAAACGGATACACAATGCTTCTCCCTAGCATCGGAGCTCAGTGGTCCATAACAGCTCTGAAGCGCTTTGGTGGGTTACTTTTTTTTCCTTTTTGATAATCGCTTGCGTCACTTAAGAGTGCCACTCACCGGGGTAAAAGCCAGAGATCTCGACTGAATGGCGGGCAACTTTGCCGCGATAAGAAAGGGACGCTGGGATGTAACCTCCGACTCTTGTCTTTGCCCTTGCCATTTCTGTTTCCCGTGCCATCCGCCATCCGCAACAACTGGGTCCAAGCACACACTCTTCAATCCCAAGCGGCGAACTGTCTCGATTGCTCTCAGACCTCGCTTTGTTACCTTGGAGAACCGGTGCTCCCGGTATGAGACGGGAACCTTCGGTGGGCGGAACATGGATCAATCGAAGCCACAGAAGCCATGTCGTTCCAGGTGCCTGATGATTCCACATTGTTTTCCAGAAACGGTTACTGTATGGCTGCGCTCGGCTGCGTTGTAAGTCGGGATAAGCCATGCATTTGATGGAGTTGAGATCACACGTCCCTTGCGCAATGAAAGCAGGTACGACAAATCCTCATCCCGTATCAGATCTTCCATCCCATGAGTCGAGGATCAATATCCGAGTACTATTTTTTCGTCTTTTTTTGGTCTGTTCTTTCATCCAGATCCCTCACCGATCGTCATAGGCGATATCGCCATCAAAAGGCTGCGAGAACGGCGACACCCTTGACGCGAAGGACAATGATTGGCCGCTTGTTGGGGCTTCGGATTTATCAAACAATTGAACCCTCAATAAGTATGGATCCCGTCTCCACGAGGTTCTGCTCCCCCACGGACACAACGAGCGGAATGAGAGAGTTCTTCAGCCCAGACTAGTCCGTCTTGCCACGCCTTGCATATTATCGGGCACGTCTTAATCAGATAGAGAGAGAAAAGGACCCTGCTCCAACGCTTTGTGCGGTGTCGATTGCGCCCGACTCAATGGAGGTCCCTGCGTCATCGGGGTCAACAAAAAGGGTATGTAGCTACGTCAGAGGGGCAGAGGGAACAAGTCTCAGGGTTAGGGTAACGATAAGATTGTATTCCCGATAAGATAAACAGGTAATCTTGGCGGGGTTAGGTAGAGGGAGTTCCTGCAAAGTGGAAGGCACGGTAGCTGCACTCGTCGATGCCGCCGGCATCTGATATGGAGATATCAACAAACTTACACTTCAAGGGTTGCCAAATTCGAATGTGTGAAAAACTAATATCAACCATAACAACATTCTCAAAAAAAAGAGTCGATAACGCTTACTGAAAATGGTTCATGGAAATTGTGCCGCCAAAGGCAATGGTAAAGGCAATCACGGCGGAGGATCTCGTAGACCCTCATCCCACAGATCTCGAAAATGCAATCTCAACCGCAACAACAACCAACAGAGACGACCGCAGCAGGCCAATCAACAGCAGGAGTCGATCAAGGAAGAAGTTGAAGACGAAAGATACGAGCCTTTCCCGGTGCTCGACAAGAAACACCAGCAAATCATTCTCAATATCTTTAGAGATACTTTCTCCGATGTCCTCTTTTCCGACACTTTCACCTCCACTCTCCAGGCCGTGAAGCAAGCCCTCTATGAGCGCGAGTTCGCAAAGGCATTTGGTGATCCCGAGTACTTGGCGGTGTATGCCGCTCGCTGGAGTCCTACGAGGGCGTTGTGCTATTCTTCCATTTTGGGTGGGATTAGGAGGCATTTGGATTCCATCATTATCGAGGAGGAGACCGAGGTTACCTCAGAAGGAGAACAAAAACAGGAAGAAAAAGACGAAGAAACCGAAACACCAAAAGACAACACAGAAGAAGAATCTCTCGCCTCCCAAACCGCCAACCTTTCCCTCTCCCCTCAAAGAACAATTCCCAAACTCAACATCCTAAGCATAGGCGGCGGTCCAGCCGAGCTCGTCGCCCTCGGTTCCTTCCTCAACCAACAATCTTCTTCCCAGTCCTCTCCTTCCTTCTCCCCCGCTCCTCTATCAGGATCCATAACCCTCCTCGACTCCGCCCCCTACTCTCCCCTCCTGTCCGCTCTCCAAACCTCCCTAACCTCCACCCCTCCCATCTCCAAATACGCCAGCGCCGCAGCCAAGGCCGCCAACGTCCCGCTCCTGACGCCCGCCTCGCGGATCTCGTCCAACTTTTTCCAGCATGATGCGCTCGACCTGGGGAAGGAAGGGTTTCTTGGCCTGTTGGCGGGGGACAAGAAGAAGAAGGATGTGCTGCGTCCGACGTTGGTGACATTACTCTTCACCCTCAACGAACTCTTCACCTCCTCGGGCATCGGCAAAACCACGCGTTTCCTTCTGGACTTGACCGCCTCCCTTTCTCTCGGGTCACTCCTGCTGGTAGTCGACAGCCCGGGCTCTTACTCGGAGACGACACTGGGAAAAGAAGAGAAGAGATACCCGATGGCGTGGCTTCTGGATCGGGTGCTTTTGGCCACTGACAAACACGGCAGAGCAACGGCGGTAGTGGAGGGCAGGAAGTGGAGGAAATTGGAGACGAGAAAGTCGAGTTGGTTTAGGTTGGCGGAGGGGAGAGGGGGCGAACTGGGACTGGATTATCCGATTGGGTTGGAGAATATGAGGTATCAGTTGCATTTGTATCGATTGGTGGATGAGAATGCGCCTGAGGAGGAGGAGGAAGGGGGGGAGGGTAGTGAGGGGAGTGAGGGGAGTGATGAGGAGTGATATGGATGGTGAGATGGGCCGGTCAGTGTATGAGAAAATGGGAATGTATTTGGAAGGAAAAGTACTGATGGTTGAATCAATGGTCGGCATTCAGGGAATTTGAAAAGATTATTATGTTGGTATATCATGATATCTAATTATCCTGCCCGTGTCTTCGTGAACTGGATATCCTTGAAAGAAGCCTTCCTTCTCGCAACAACGAAAAAGGAAATAAAAAAAGGTATCCGGTACAATTAGTGTATGTATGCTTCATCACGCCCTCGTCAATCTCCAACACCATCGCTAACAACCCATTGGCCAATACTATACCGTACGTCGTTAAGCCCACACCATCTTCTTGAGAGAATGTCCCAGTTGCTCCAGCAACCCGGTATTCTTCTTCGCATCAGCTAGAGAGATGATGCCCCCCTTCTCGATCAGTCCGGACTCCTCATCCTTCTTGGACTGAAGCTTAGGCTGGCTCCTTATCGCAAGTCTCTCGATCTCGGAGGCAATAAGAATGACTTGCTGCATTTCGGAGAGTCTCGTGATCGCCCCAGGTTCATCTTCTTTACTCTTGGCCATGGGATCAGCCGCCGAAGTGATGCTGTGCAGCGCCTTGAGAGCAATCTTGCGTGCCTGTGGTTCTTGAGAACGGGGAGCGAAGAACCCGGCGATGCCCTCAGCAATGCCAGCTATCGGTGCTGCGACAGGTGCCGGCTTTTCTTCGGAGGCAGCAGCAGCAGCAGCATCCTTCGCCGCTTGAGGTTCCTGTTCTGCGGCATCGATACCAGAGGTAGGCTCACGGCCCATCTTGGATGCATCAGACACCGAGGTAGTAAGTGACCGCGTGTTGACTCGGGTGATGTCTGTAACACCAGGATTGTACTCGACAATGAGTCCTACGTTACGCATCTCATCGACCTCGGCTGCTGAGATCGTCGATGTGATGTACGTGCCAAACTTAATGTTCGTAACGTGGGCCAAGTCGACGCGTTTGAACGAGGATACCTTGTCGAGGTTCCAGTCGAACCTGCAAAGATACAGGGCTTTGTCAGTGAGCAAAAGGACTGCTTCTTCGAATGAAGAAGAGCGGACAGTATCGGGCACATTTGGTGTCAGGAGAGTCCAGCCACCTATGAACTCTTCGGACTCATCCGCAATGACGCGCTTGTGCGAAAGTTCGATGGCCTGCTCCCGCAGTTTCTGCATCGATATTGCGGGATCCTTGGTCATCATGTTGGCCTCGAATTCCGCAAACACCAGGGAGGTCACATTGCCCAGGAGAAAATCGATCGTTGTCTGGAGGAAGAAATCGTTGAACATGCTAGCACAGGGCAGTCAGTATGTCTCCTTGGTGTCATGACTTCAAAACCTCTAACATACCCATTGAACAACCGAGTCAGAGATAGCCCTGCATCGGTCAAAGCTCCGCGATAGTTTCTCTTGCGAGTCCGTGTATAGTCACCCTTCATTGCGCCCGTGGAGGCATACTGCTTCGAGATTGCATCTCCGTTGTCAGCCCAAAGAGTATTGAACCAAGCGTTCTCCTGATCCTTTTGCAGGTTCATGTCGAAGCCCAGCTCCTTCAGCTGCATGTCAAGCATGTATTTGGCAAAAGAGCTTTGGCAAACGTTGGTGCGGTCAAGACAGTCCATACAGTTGGTTCTGAAAGCACCGAGCTGTTGGGTTTCGACCTTGTCATTTACCACGACTGTGCTTCCCCATTTCTCAAGTCTGGGCCCCAAAATCTCCAAGAGAACAGACACGTTTTCAAACTTCATCCCGCGACAGACATGATGGAAGTCAAACCACTCGAAAGCGATTTGTTCATCCTCAGGCCTTGACTCTTCCTCGTTGAGTCGCTTGATATTTTCTTCGTATCGCTGTCCTATTGGCGCTTCAACGCCATGCTTTTCCACGAGGTTGACGCACTGTATCAATCCGTACTTCTGCCTGAGCCATTCGAAATGCTTCTTCAGTGCCGCGTAGTTGGTGTCGGGTGAATGCTGTAGTACTGGTGCGGGCTTCAGTGAATAGGGAGACTGGGAGAAGAACAGAGGGAAGCTTCCCCTGATCTGAACAAAGGAGTAGATCTTGGCATTAGGGACGGATGTTCCTTCAGCAGGCGACAGGATTTGCTCAGATTCCACACAATTGGCAACGTTGCCACCCTCGTCAATACCGCGACGGAGGTAACGCAGTCCTGCTCTCTTGGTTGACCTCCTGGAAATTACCGTGATGTCAAACCTTTTCTCCGTGGGGTGGGTTTCTTCACAGCCGACCCCTGCATTGATGGAAGCTGGACTGGCCGCAGCTTTGTTGTCACCATCCAAGTCCTTGAGCTCGAGTGAGTCCTTAGCAGCATCGTCAACCTGTGGCGGATTGCTATCGACAGTGAAGGTACGCTGACCTACAAAACCCTGCATAAGGGGTAGAGTCAGGGAGTCCACACCAGCGTCGATAAAAGGCTTCATGACGTTCTTGTTCCAGAAAAACGTGGGGTCGACATGGTTAACCAGCGGTATAAGGGGCGTAGAAGGAGGCGCCGGGTTGGCTGCGCTACGGGTGATATCGTAGTCGTACGAGAAGTAAAAAGTGCGACTCGAGCCAAACAAGATTTGGGTGGTGCGTAACAGCTTTGGCAGCAGGCTCACTGCAGCCGAATCATCCTCGACGGCGTCACTCGGCAAGGGAAACTTGCGAGGGACACGCTTTGCAGCATCCGAGCCCTTCTTGGCCTCGGTTTTGCTGGCATTGGCCCTTTCAAGTTGCTCTGCGCTGAGGCCCATATTCCTCTTCTGATCCATAGTCCAACCTGAGCGACTAAACCAGCTTTTTGCAAATCGACCATAGCTTCCACGACGTGTGATGACATCCTGTGCGATACTGCTACGTGATATGGCGCTGGGGCCCGTTTCTCCTGACGAATCCTCTCCCTCTGTGTGATCCAAGACATCGTCGATGGCCTCATCGTTGCTCCCTGAATCTCGCGGGGCGTCATCCTCGCTCGCTGTATCATCGTCCGAGTGAGCTGCCTCACGGTTGTTGAGGGCTAGCGCGGTCTTGGCTACTGCCTCGGCGGCATCGTTCTGCGAAGTACACGGCGTAAGGGCGACTTCGGTTACGACATAGATGGGTTGACCGCGAATCTGGGCGACTTGCTGGCGGCCGGTAATAGAGATGAGGTAGCTGTATCGAAAGACGGTAAGGATACCTGTAAGAAATCAGTCACAACGTCGCAAAAATCCCCGAGCTAGGTACGCAAAGACTGACCAACAATTCCAAAAGCTTCGAAGGAGGAGTCGGGGTTCGATAGTTCAGGTACCGAATCTCTCGAAGTTTGCGATACCGAGGCAGTGCCGTACTTGATCTTGATCAGTGAAGTGCGTTGCTGATCTTTCTTGGAATGGAGAGGTTGTAGAACAAGGCCGTCAACAGCGGCGCATATCAGCACCTTTCGCGCGAGACCCGGCATTTTGATTCGGTTATGCTTCTACCCATGAAGTTGGTACTCGCCGCGTTTCTAGGTCCTTGTGTGTTTCCGTACAAGGTTGAACTCGGATACCCAAACACAGCAGTAAAGGGAGCGACGCGCAGGAAGTCGATTGTCGAGAAGAAGCGACGTACTATTGAATGGAAGAATTTGGAACTCGGCTTGTCTTTCAGCCGAAACTTGGGATGAAACTCGAGATAGGAGGGTCTGGGATACAATTTCAAAGTTTGGGAGAAAAGAGGAACGGGGTCGGTTTGGGTTGGATACAGCCGCCCTGGGTTCGGGCAGTTCCTGGATCATCCCTCGCTCAGTCATCGAGTCGAAAAGTGACTGGTGCCAATGATGTCGGGTCCTGACAGGGCGTGGGGCACACATGCGCGTCGCATGGAACCCGACGTCATTTCCTCTCTTTCCAGCCAGGGGGGTTGGTCTGAAGGTTGACTCCAGACCCCCACTTTCATGGTTCTGGCCAGCAAGGGACTCTTTGACGTGTCGCGAACGACCAAAAGTTTTACACCCACCCATAACCCAAACCCTAGAATCTCGAGGTCATGCTGTAAAGTTGACTACATAGTACCATAGATATCACAGGCGCGGTGGCCAAACACCAGACGCAGTCTCACCACTGCAGTCCCACATGAGCGAGGTTATCGACGTTCAAGCCATATGTGCAGTTTGAACGTTTTCCAATTTTTTTTTTGTCCCGCTATAGTCGCCGTGACTGCCTTCCAGCTAGCACGAGACCCGGGGTATTACCAATCTAACACACAGAATTCTCCTATTCCACTATATTCTTTCCAGATTGTGCTGCGCTTACATAGCGAGACGCTCAACCTTGTCACGAAGGGCACGGATCTTGGAGTTAAGATCAGAAGCCTCGTTGGAGGTGAGAGAGACGGCAATGACCGAGCGGGAGACACCGCAGGCACGGCCAAGAGCGGTCTTGGAAGGAACGTAGACGTAAGGGACGTTCTTGTCCTCGCAGACTGTAAACCCGTTAGTCAGAGTTCTAATCAAGTCAATGGGCTTTCTCAAGTTGGGTATAGACGTACGCAGAGGAATGTGAAGAACGATGCTCAGAGGCTGAGTATCAGCAGCGAGGATGACCAACTCGCTGGTACCGCGAGAGACCCTATCGTGTATGTTAGTTGCATGTCGATGGACAGAAAGTCGTAGGCGAGGTGGGAAGTGCACATACGACTTGGTGGCCTCGTTGGCACCCTTCTTGAGCTGTCTGTAGTGGCTGGCCTGCTGGACGCAGTCGAGGAGCTCCTGGACGAGAGCACCGTCCTCGGCCTTGGGCCAAGCAGCAGATTCGTTTTGACCAGACATTTTGATAGGAGTGTTTGTTGTTTGGACGATTGATTGGAAATTAGACACCAGGGTTCACTGCGTTGTGCTCGCCCTGGGGAGTTCAACTGCTCGGAGATGGGCGAAAAAGTGGTTGAAGGTGGACCGTTTTCGCTGGAGAAAAAAAAAAAACGGCGATAACGAATTGACTGCGCGCGGCTGCTTGACCCCAGCGGCCGACTCGGTTTCAGACTGGAAAATTTCGTCACCAGCCACAATCAGGTCAGCCATAACAAGGTCAGCCACAATTGAGAGCCACTGTCTGCCGTCCAGGTCACCCCGAAGCTGCTGTCGCTGCACTGCAGTCAGTGCACTGACATTCAGCACTGCACTCGGAGCCTGCACTCCCTCGCTGCACCTGCTGCCCGGGCTGCAGTGACCTCTGCGGCCTTGGGTTGGTCCGCTTCCGGATTACGTAACTGCAGCCGCCTTCGCAAGCGCTACCTGATTGGCGGCAGGAATATGATGCTCGCCCCAGCGCCCCAGCAGTGCCAGTCAAGCACCAACCTGGAAACACCTCGTTCCCAGCCTGCCAGCCAGCAACACAGTTGACACCACTCGATCCGTCACCAACTCAACCCCATCGAACCGTAACCCCATCACTGTCGCGAGTCCCGACTCTTCCCAACAACACGCATCATCCCACACCACCACTCCACGTTCCGCACGGCAATCTCCAATTCATTCCATATCCAACTTATTGATACAGCTTCGCGCGACAACACATCCACAATGTCCGATCTCTGGTAGGTCATTCGCACCCACCCCGGTCCGTGTATGATGGAGGAGGAGGAGGAGGAAGAGGAGTCGGAGGCCCGCGGCGAGCTCGCCCAAGCTCCAATCCACACCTAGGCTGCGTGCCGTTTGGCATCACCAAACACAATATATACATCGGTTTCAATAATATAGCCTACAGCTAGTTACCTATACAAGACAAATGAGCTAACAATGTTTTGTCATATAGCCCTGTTTACGCGGTTAGTACCCTCCCCGCTCTGTTCACGCACCTTGGCGGCAGCGTCAACGTCTCTGAACATCCGCCACCGAATCGCCAATGCAGGCTGGCTCAGACAACGTCCGTATATAGCTAACATGATGTATTTGGATAGCCCTTCTTCGGTGCCATGGGCTGCACAGCAGCCATCGTCTTCACCTGCCTTGGTGCCTCGTACGGTACTGCCAAGTCTGGTGTTGGTATCGCTGCCATGGGTGTCCTCCGCCCTGACCTCATCGTCAAGAGTATGTCGAATTTTCCAAGAGCCAAGCTGAGCTCTGGCGTGGTATCGTACATCAATATGCTGACTTGGCTTCTTCTTCAGACATTGTTCCCGTCATTATGGCTGGTATCATCGGTATCTACGGTCTCGTCGTCTCCGTATTGATTTCCGATGCTCTTACACAGGACCACTACGCTCTCTACACTGGCTTCATCCAACTCGGTGCTGGTCTCGCCGTCGGTCTTGCTGGTCTCGCTGCTGGTTTCGCGATTGGTATTGTCGGTGATGCTGGTGTCCGTGGAACTGCTCAACAACCCAGACTCTTCGTCGGCATGATTCTTATTCTCATTTTCGCCGAAGTCTTGGGTAAGTCCTCTGTGAAACTGGCCTTCCATCCCCATGACGACTAACCCGTTGTCTAGGTCTTTACGGTTTGATCGTTGCTCTTTTGATGAACTCCAAGGCCACGCTCAACACCTCATGCTAGATGCCCGAATACCAAAAGACCTCGGTCTAGGTCTCCCCACCGGTATGGGTGTGACAAGCACGTGCACACGAACTACATAGAGCCCCATACCTGGAACCTAAACAACGAATGATTTAAGAACACGAACGGATTCTCATATCCTCGCCGCACACATCCTTCAGCTCTTCCCATTTGTCGCTCAGCCGGCTAATCACGCAAAACAAGGGCTTTCTTCTTGTTTGGGTGGATGACATGGTGGGCGGCACCTTAGGGCTGGAAGCTGAAGTCGGGAGGAAAACACAACGATAACAGAGAGAGAGTGAGGGGGGAAGACTATGAAAACACAGGAGAGCTGGCGCATATCTTTCGGAAGGGGAAAGGCGTCACTCGCGGAGTTTCTCAACGGGCATTGCGTTTATTATGGAAAGCATGTCACATGTGTACAATTGTCACAATTACGGTGTGGTCAAACGCAAAGCATTACATCTCATTTTTTATACGGCTGGTTGCTTTTTTTTTTGCTTTTCTGTAAAGAGTTTGTTTTTCGACTCTGATCACCATAGACAGGGACGAAGGGTGAGAAGGAGGCACGCATGAAGGAAGGATGAAGGGCGGGATGAACGGTAAAAGACTTTGTTGTAGGTTGGGTTGTGTTGCAATGCATGCTCTATTTCTTATGAATGTGAAGGGAAAGAAGTTGTGCTTGCTTGGTTGTGCGTTACCTTTCTGTCTCGTTCATGTCCTTGTTATTCCACCTGATAGACTGGCATAGGTAGACTAGGAAGCCGCATCAACACACCACTAGAGTTCACTGCCGAGTACGGGATGTGATTGTGTTTGCACGTTTTGATTCTTATTACGATTAGGTAGATAGTAGGTAGGTTAAGGTAAGAGGAATGCTTTCCCATCGCTTGCTCGCTCGCCGACGATGCACCGCAATTGCAACCGTACTCCCCCCATGCGTAGTCCTTTTCCTTTTGCCTCTCATCTCATCACGCTATTAATACTATGGTACATCGTAGGTAGGTGAAACCGTCTCTTTCTTCTCTCTTCATTTTCCTCTGCGTTAGCTGTTCATCTTCGACATCTTTTTCTCTTTTGATTAATAGAGTGTACTTTGATCATTTCATATAAGTCTTGTTCCTCTTCTTCTTCTTCCTCTATCTAAGCGTCCCCAAGGAGTGCTTTCCAAGGGTCTATAGACTCCGCGGCTCGGCTAGGCGGGAGCCTATTACACACTGATATATGTATAGGAGAGCCATGGTTGATATAGTAAGTCGGTTTTCAAATGACGTACTAGAGGGAATCAAAGTCAGTCATACTGTCTTCATCCCCAACAAGAGTGACGGAGGGGGGAAAAAAAAAAAAAACTTACCGGAATGAAAAGATAAGGCACCCTCCTCTCATACTCCTTCCAAGCATCACCATACTTCTCGCGGCAGCGAGTAATGTCACGCCACGCGCGATGAGCAATCATGCAGCAGAAGAAGACGGGGTAGAACCAAGGGAAGGGGCTGCTGAAGCCGGTAATCAAGCCCCAGCAAATAGCAAAGTAGGCGTCGCAGGTATAATGTACCTTGCGGGCGAGGCCGTACCAACCGTCGACCAGAATGCTGTCGCCCGTCTCGGTCTCGATCTTCTGCGGGTTCTTGACCGTCTGCCAGGGCAGTTGGGGGAAGGTCTTGCGGTAGAGCAGCTTGCCGCGCTCCTGGGCGCGGAACCGGTTCTTCTGGCTGTTGCACGTATCCCAAACCCAGTACACGAACAAATAAGAGACGTAGAGGCCGACGAGTGCAAACCGGTTCCACCGGTACTCGTCCGGGTGGTGGCTGGCCAGGAAGATGGTGCAGTGGCAGTACGAAAGCGGGACGCCAGCCAGGTTCCAGAAAATCAGCATGAAACCCCACTTCTCGTAGTACATATCCCAGGTCGTCACGATCAGCTCCTCACCCTTGGAGCAAGCGTTGGCGTACAGGTAGTGCGCCATCACCAGGAAACCGACTTCGCCTGAGACGTAGCCGTACCGGTCCCACTGGCGGGCAGCGGCGCCCAGAGAAAGCAGGAGCAAGATGTACCACGGCAGGCGCACTTCGAAGAACATCTTGAAGTCGAGAACGCCAAACATGCGCGGGTTCAGCTCGGCGCCCATGAAGAAGTCGTAGACGTGGTGGCCCGTCATGCGGTGCGTGGCGCCGCGGACAAAGGCCGAGACGTAGGCGACGATGCTGACGAGGAAGCCCGAGATGATGGCGACCGAGAGCAGCGGGCCGAACTCGTCGATGATCTGGTACAGGGGGAAGATGCCGGTGAAGTGTAGGACGCCCGCGATGGCGAAGGTGACGTAGAAGGAGACGTAGGCCGAGCAGTGGTACTTGAGCATCTTGCCGCCCTCGTGGGGGAGAGGCTTGCCGTAGGCGGTGACGCCGGGCATGAGGCAGTAGAAGGCGCCCTCGAAGACGAGAAAGGTCCAGTACCACAGCCACGCTTTGGCGTGGGGGAAAGCCTTGGTGTAGACAAGGTCGCAAAGGTGGGCGGCAAAGTCGGCCCAGCTCTGGCCGGGCTCGCGGCTGGGGATGCCGCCGTTGTATTGAGTCGCGCCAATCCACATGTACCACATGAGGATGGGAAAGAAGATCATCATGGCGCCGGTGCCCAACGAACCGCCAAACTCGAAGTGGCCGGAGGTGTCGATCTTAGGGTCCATTCCGGGCCTCCAGCCGTCGATGAGCTTCTCTGCCCCGGGCTTGCCGTTGGCATCGAGACTGCTGCGGCTGCTGCTCGCGTTTCCGCTCAGCAGAGGGGCGTTCTCGACATCGGGCTCGTCCGAGGATGTGTAGGGCGGCGTGGGCTGCATCGTGTTTTCTTCTTCGTCGATGTGCTCGAAGAACTTGCCGGTAGTCTTCAGGTTGCGCTTCCGAAGGGTATCGCTCTTTGCCTTGGCCGATGTCTGTTTCGACACGGTCTCGGTGGCCGAGGCGCTCGATTCACCGTCGGAGGACTCTGGGACTTGGGACTTGCTGCGACGGGTGTTGCGGCGTACAGGGGTCTCCACCATGCCCTGAAAGAGTTCCTTCTTGCTGTCATGGAATGTCAGCAATCCGCACTTGACTCGGGAGGCGGCCTCGCATGGCCCCGGGAGCAGGGAAAGTGGTGTTGTTAAGAAAGTGACATGGTGGCCCAGGTCTGGCCCGTGGGAAGATGCAGGAAAGTGTGTTCCGGAGGCTGCACTACCCGCCACCGGCCTTCTCCTTGGAGCAGCAACATCTCCAACCTTTTCTGCGTTTCTCCAAGATCCTTCCACGCAGTGTCAAATGCGCCCCTGAGAAACTGGAGCGCGCCTTTGACCTCCCTGCGCCATCTTCCGAGCACAGACGCAGTCGCGTCTCTAGGCGCATATGCCACGAAAAGTTGGGATGAACTCCCACGCGAAGATGGTGGATCTCACTACATCTCGCGCAACGTGGTTTTTGATTGGATTGAAGCCGGGGGGGAAGCACACAAGGGGGGTTTGTGTTACACATACCGTGGAGTTTGCCGTAGCGAGTACCTTGACGACGACATTGTGAAAAAGAGAAAAGGGAGATTTCTGGCGCACCACCCAACGACGATGGTGCGTTGTCCTTGTATGAAAATGATGGGACTGGACAAGAAAGACCGGCGCCTAAAGTCACAGGCGGTGAGAAGCAAGTCCAACAAAAAGAACAGCAACCTGGATTGCCCGATCACGAAACGCTATTGGGGATCAAACATGGGGACGGGGGGGAACAAGATGGAAAAGACAGGCTAAGAGCTGTATAAGATCCAACGCGCGCATCCCAACCTTGGCGCGAACCCCGGTACAGGCGATCGGACGTATGAGAGAAAAGTAATCTTACTGGATGTCCAAGCAAAGTTGGTAAAAGCTGTGGAAAGTCCAAGCTGGGAGGGTGTATCACTGTCACCAACAATCTCCCTCGGAGTGTGATGAACAAAAATGTGTGTGAGTGTGAAAGAGATGGTGATATGAGCAGAAGCACAACGGAAAAGACCACCCAGGAACAAGAAAGCCGGAGAGTTCGTAAAGATGGGACCTGAAGAACCCCTGTTGACCTGGCATCCACTTCCGAGACCCGAGGAACTGATGTTAGCTTCTCGATCCAGGGGCACAGAGGCACGGCACCACACAGCACACACAGAGTGCGTGATCTGGGGAGGATGGGCAGGACCGGGATTGCTGACTGCAGCTCACATCGGGCCTACGGAGCTACCACGATTGCAAGGGGCACTGAAGTCCTGAAGTCAGGTCCATTTGTTGACAAAATATCAAAATATTGTGTTCATTGGAATTGAACGCAACATTCCAGTGAGTGACTGAGCGCAGAGCTGTCGCCCTGGGGTCTCCATATCCTGTGGATTCGGGCTAGCGTATCAGGTTTCGGGTTAATTGCCCACAGTCGCTCGATTCCTCAGTCGATTCTTTGCGAGAACGAGCATGGACTTCTGCTTCCCTGACAACGGCAGCCACGTAGTGCGAACATACACATACATTTTCGGAACCCGAGGGCAATGCTAGAACACGACTGTAGGATCGTTGTATTGCCGGCTTAACCAAGCTTTCATGGCTCAAGTGCCCATCTTTCGGCATTTTCAAAGTGGCTCACTTGTTCCGAGCCATTCATTAGGTTTCTTTCGGCAAGTGGATTATGCATACCCCTATTTGGTCGGCCAAAACCCGATCTCCTTGATCGACCATGACCTTCAAGGTGTCGGTGTTCCGGACTTGAGATGAATGGACATATAGTCCCATGGACTCTGTCTGACGGTAGCCGGCATCCTCAGCGCGTAAAGAGTTGAGATTGCCTATAGTTAGCGCCCTCCGAACTATCGTTATTAGCCTCGAATTGACGCCCGGACATGAACCCGTTTCCTATCACAACAAAACAGCCCCAGTACCAGCCCAACCTAAAGTTTGACTTGACTTATCCGAGCAAGGGCATTCTTTCCCTCTCTCTCTGACCACCATTGTCATCCTCCGAATCCTCATCACACTCATCCTCAAAGGGCACCACCAAAGCGTCCTCAAATGGCAATACAAAAGCAGAAGCTACCAGCCCAGCCATACACGCCATCGAAATCAGCGCCCCAAACATGCAAAGATACCAAGAGGCCCCCAGCCGGTACCCCGGGATTCGGTTAAACTGATCATCGTGATGGAAGAGGTAGGCCTATGCAAGCAAGCAGCTCGCCAGTTTAGCGAGCGAATGTTAGCCTCTGTTTCTGCCTCTGTACCCCGTACCCTGAAAACGACAAGGGGCAGCGAGCATCCCCATTCCATCCATCCAAACATCCCGGCCGTTACCCGGGGCAACCATCAAAACCTGTTGTCCACATATTCCATCATGATCCTCAGCCTCATCACCATCCTTACTACCGCCACCCCATCATCTATCTACCCAAGAGTTGAAGAAAAAAAACAAGAAAAAAAAGAAAAAAATTGAACGAAGAAAACGAAGGAAAAAGATAAGCCAGGAAGAACTCACCACTAAACCCCCCGCCATCGCCAAACCCACCCCCACAGCCCCCATCATCCAAGCCAACACCTTCCACCTTTCTCCTTTCTCTCTCAAGATCCTCAAGCCGAGCCTCCTCCGTCTCCTACCTTGTCCATTTGGTCCATTTGATCCATTTGATCCATTTGATCCATTTTGTCCACCTTGTCCACCTTGTCCACCTTGTCCACCTTGTCCACCTTGTCCACCTTGTTCATTTGTTCCATCTGGTCCATTTGGTCCATTTGGTCCACCATGTTGCCCACCAAGTAAGCTTTCCTCCCCTCCTCGCCCACCTCGTCCACTTCCACTTCCCCTCCTCCTCCTTCTTTGCACGTCCTGATGCCCACCATCACCCAACACCAACAAAACCACGAACCCAACCAGCGTTGCGACTTCCAAAACCACGAAGAGATTCATCAGGAAGGCCGTGGACTTCCACATGTTGCAGAAGAATCTGCGTTCCTCTTGTTGATGGCTGCTGCCGGGGTCCGGGATATCGGGGCCAGGGGGTTTGGAGGGATCAGGGTCGGGAATGGGGTTGTTGGGATTATTGGGGGGATGAGGGAGAGGAGAGGGAGGAGGAGGAGGAGAGGAAGGAGGACCAGGACCAAGGCCAGTAGAGTTGGCATGGAGACCACCGGAGCAGAATCGGGGATCGGGGAAGGGGATACATTCTAATTTCTCCTGTTCGGTGTGTTGTTTGGCGTGTTTGGCGTGCCTGTCTTTGATGGGGGCGAAGGAGACGGATTTCGCGCTGTCGCTGGGATTATTATAGTACCATACTTGCACTAAGTCGTTGACGACAGGCGTCTGACATCGCTGGTGGAGGCCGATGTAATCGTGGAAGCCGCTGGAGGCCGCCGCCACATGGACAGGTGAGGAGTCGTGGATGATGTGGTAGTGTTTGTGGTGGCCATGATTGTGAGAGGTCTGGGGGGAGGGAACGGAGCAAGTAATCCACCGGGGAAGCAGGATGGAGGTTAAAGTCATTGTTGTCACTGTTGTTGTTGGGGTGGGTGTAAGGAGTTGGTTGTGGTTCGTCAGCTACTTGATTCCTCACGGGCGGGCAGAAAGACCGGGTCAGACGAGATGAGAGAGACGAGACTCACCGGCGAGAAAGACTGCTAGTCCCGTGATGTATACGCTTCGTCGGATCATCCTGAACCGTCTGCGCTCAAAGGTGATCTTGCGATTGCGAAGGGGCTAAGCTGGGTTGAACCGAGGGATGTACGTATCGCCGTCGTCGCGCCGGGTTGGGAGGTTGGGTATCAGAGCCTCCTAAATCAATGACTGACAGATGGGGCAATGTTATGAACAAAAGAGTGTAGATGATCCAAGCTATCATGAATGTTGTGGGTGGACAAAGGGATATGAAGACGCCTGGCATCGAACAGAGCCGAACTTCCATCAATCAGAGATGTCACCACCATCCCGTCACTGTGAGGGGGCATCTGCTGATGACAGCGCTCGTGCACTCGTTCTCCAATATCTGCGCAAGATGCAAGATATATAAAACGCTGGGGACGTCCCTGCATTTGTACATACGCTACCCAGGCACCCGGACCCATGCACAGACGTACCTAGACATCCCGTCTGCTTGACTGGCACATCATATTTACCCATCATCCATTAAAAGGTCTTCGTAGCTCCCACGATGATATATCTACCAATCCCCAAATACAGATACTTCTACTTCTCGTGAAGGTCTTCTAACGATCTTGGATGAAATACATGCCCTGTAAAGATATCCTGCACAAAAAAAATGAGCAAAGGAACGCCTCCGTCCGTCCTCTTCCTCTTTTCCCCTTTTCTTTTTATGAGTGGTCATGCTCGTTCTTTTATCCATAACACTATTTTATCTTCTTCTCCTATCATCTCTAACCGCCGAAGCAGGAACAGGATACGAATTCGTTCGACCAGACAATAATAGCCCCCGTCTGGTTTGTCTAACATGACCATGCTGAAGACCACCATCACCACCACCACTGCCAGCGCCAGAAGAACTAGGACGAACAACGCCCTCTCTACTACCGCCAGAAGCGATATTGCCACCAGCAGTCTTTTTCCCGCAAGCACTAAGCGGAACTTCACTCTTCCCACCCACAATCCTGCCACCGCTACTAGTAGGTGTACTCGGCGCCGTAGACGAAGAAGTAGAAACTCCCGCCTCGCTCCCAGTCCCGCGAGCACTACCAAGACGTTGCCTTTCGTTATCACCAAACCCAGAGCCATCACCAATAACAGTTGTCTGCTTACTTTCCGGCAACAGAGGATGACCGTCCTACGACCACCTCATGTCCGAACTAGGCGCTCGACTTCTGCGCTTAGCGTTTCCGGCGCCCGCACTACCACCCATAACGGAGAACGATGACTCTCTCGCTCCGTAGCTGCGTGAGAACCCCTCACTTCCTCCTCCTCCTCCACTACCTTGGAAACTGCTAGACAAGCTCACTGCACTCCCTGTCGGCGAGACCGAGTACAACCCTCCTCCTCCGAGGATCCTCGCCTCGGGACCCGCAACTGATGACCCGGACCTTATCCGCCCGTAGTTCTCCTTGTTATGGTTACTCAGCGAACTTTCGCTCCGCTCTCGCTCACGCTCGGCACGACTGCTCGCTATGCCCGAGTTACCTATCCCCATGCCCGTCGCTGAGACCGCTCCAGGCGCCGTGGCGGCAGATGATAGACTCGGTCTAGGAGAACTATACTGCGTCATGGACATGCGGGGCAGTCGCATCCTTGAGGGTGTCCCTAAGCCACCGGCCGAGCCCATGGATGAGGACAACGAAGGAATGCCCGCTGAGGTGTCTTGGCTAACTCGGCGTGGGATATTGATCAGCGGGACGCCGCCGTCTCTGCTGTGCGGCCGATACATTGCTTCGCGCTCCTGGGCTAGGGAGATTCCGGAGCGTTTCGGCGTTGATGCTACTTCGATGTATGCGGCCGAAGACGAATGCGAGGCTCGGTGACCATGCGTGGGTGTGGGCGGCATGGACATGCTGGCATGTAAGCCTGGCGGTGTATAACTAGTATTGCGCCGGGGGCCAGACCGCGAGCGTGGTCCAGAACTCAGGTTGTTGAGCGGATTGGGGATGGCCGAGGGCCCAGCACCCATGTTCAGTGCGCCCAAGGCTGCTACGTCGTGTTGTAGATCGATGTCGATGTGGCTCCTAACGATCTCCGATGCCAAGTTACGCACCAATACTGCTGGATCCTTATCTGCCAGTATTTGTATATCGTCAAAGAGAACACGCAGCGCACGGCCCGCGGTCGAAGTGGCCAGGGTCGCCATGGGTGTGTTGTTGACTTCGCAGCCGTCCATGATACTGCGCACGAGACGGAGCAAGTTGAGGCGCACAACGGCCTTCTTGTGGCTCAGTTTCTGGGCGATGCCAGCATACATCTCCGCCTTGGCAAGTGATGCTGCCACAGAGGGACTAAGTCGTACAAGCTTTAACAGCGGTTCGAGAAGGTTGGCGTCGAAAGCATTTGCTTTGTTGGTATTGAAGCAAGACGTGATCGCCATGGTAAAGTTGCCGTCGAGCAAATGGTGTTCGACCTTGGCCGTCTCCTTTTCTAGCCAAACAAAGATAGCATCCAGCGCCGTGACTTGCCAATACTGATCTGCCAAGAGCGAAACGTAGAATTCCAGCCCATTGTTCTGCCACAGATATCGTCGGCCCTTGCTGCCCGAGTGCGCCATGTCGCAGAGAATAGGGAGGACGAATTCCTTGGGCGGCCGATCGGTCTTCATGATCTTGAGCAACAGTGGAATGATACCATTGCTGGCAGCGTATTCCTGACGCTCCTTGCTGAGTCGGCATAGGTTAAACATGGTGTTGAGCACTTGATTGGAGATTTCGCGGAAATGCTGCTGCCCTCTCTTCATTGAGTTGCTCAAAACGTCGATCAAGTAGTCAATGGCATCAGCGGAATGTAATGACTCTAACGTGGTTGACAGCATGGATAAGTTTTTGATGAACTTGAGCATAGTGATTTGGTGAGCAGGTGTCATCCGCCTGAGGTCCTTTAGGACAGCTATATTGAGTTATGATTATTAGCAATTGACCCGGCATTATAACAATAAGGGGTACATACTCTTGAGTACAAAGCGCTCGGCAACGACTTCCTTCACATAGTTCTCCGCTTGCGAGAAGAGATAAAAGATGTTGACGATGCGAGCTTCAATCAGCTCGGACAGCTCGTCCCTATCATCTTCATCCAAGACCTTGTGCAGCACTGCAGCTAATGGGTCCAAGATTTTGCTTCGCGAGAATATGCGGCAAAAGTCGTTCTTTGGGGTCGGACCCTAGAGTGACAATCAGCACCATTTCTTGACATCAAGACATGTGTTGAAGAACAAGGCTTACCTGAAGCTCAAAGACGTTCCAAATGCCATTCACGCCGATAAGAACAAGGTCTGGCGACATGTCATAGTCTTCATCCAGAAACTCTACCAAGACATTGAGACCGCCTGCACTGACGAACATTTGCAGCGTCAAGGTAGAAGTCTGGTACATTTGCCGAACAAAGGCTGCGGCCTCCAAGCGGATTTCGTTCGAATACTGCCGAGCAGCGAACTTGGTGATAATAGGGATACCGCCAACGAAACACAAGTTCTCTTGCAGCTCGACGTCGTCCAATATGATCTGCTCGCAGTCAGTGATCGGACAGCCATACAGTTTTTCACATATGAACACTGATATTGGCACCTACCGCATTGACGATCTTCAACAGCTGCAAGATCATGTGCTGACGACTCTTCACTGTGCAGGGCTCCAAGATCTCCAGGATCGGTAGCAACCCATGTGCACTGATGATGAGATCCTTGACCTCGCTGTTTTCCCATAGAAGATTGAGCAAGTCTTCAGCCAGATCAGCAAGTATATCCTCACTCTCCGTCGGCTTCAAAGACTTCACTCTCTCTTCCACCTTCTCGGCCAACCTAGCATGTCTATCACGAGCAATATTGGCCTCGAGATCCATCTCATCCCAGCCTGGATCCATCATCGCAAAGGGGTCGTCTTCATCTTCGTCGTCCCCAAGCCAAGAATTGTTAGACAACTTGGAAAGGAGCATGAGTTGATGGCCATCTTCTGATCCCTCATCGCTCTTGGGCGGCTTTGTGAAGCTTTCCTGTTCGGCCCCGAAAATGTCCGAAAAGTCCTCGTCACCCTCGTCTTCAGCAAACTTTGTGATCTCTACTGTCATCCTTGTCCTTCGGACGGCGGGCTTCTCAGGGGCTGATGGTGGCCGCGCGGAAGCTGACTGTCTCCGCCCGCTGCTGCCATTGACAGGCGATGCCGTAGAGCGCGGTAAACTGGTGAGATCAGAAGGGTGAAATAGTTGCGGGGCGTCCTACAAAAGCAAGACGGTCAGCGAATTGGCGACAGGGATCAGGCGACAAAGAGGGAGAGGCAAGGTTTACCTTGACAGCAACATTAAGCCGGCTATTGAAGACAGAGTCCGTATCGCCAAAGAGATCAGAGTAATCCTCGGTAGACTGCTCACGATAGATTGATTCAGGACGGGGTGGAAGTTCAAACTTGTTTCCGAACTGCGTCCTCACAGGCGACTTAGTCTGGGAGGCGCTTGAAATCGTGGTTTTGCTGCTCCTTTGCCGCCTATGTCCTTGCTGAGAAGACTTGGAATCGGACACCCTATCTGACCGTTTCGGCAAGGGACGAATCGTCTGCTCAAATTCTCCGCCAAAGTCTTCGTCCCAATTCTCTGTATCTTCCCGCGAGCTGTCAATGGATGCGAACGCTTTGAGCCGATCGCTGGAAAGTAGTCCTCCAAAATTATCCTGGCCTTTGATGTGAGGGAGGTGGAGCGCACTAGGTGAAATTGCAGTGGCAAAGTCATTGTCCCAGTTATCATCGTCTGTCACAATCTGTCAGCTAACACTTTCACGTCCTAATTTTCTGATACTCACCAGCTTCTACCGCAGGAGACCTAAAGACCTCTGCGTTCGCCTTCGGCTTCGCTTG